AAACAATGTGGAAGAATGCGTTAAGATTTTCGTCGGTGTGGTAATCAGCCGTTTAGCTCAGTGGCTAGAGCGTCAGGCCGCGAATGCCGAAGACGTGGGTTCGATTCCCACAGCGGCGACAATCTTTTCGCACTTTTTCTACATATTTTAATGTTCAATCTTAAGTGCAAAGATTAGCACTATAAACAATTTAAATTTCTAATAAAAGCAATGGCGACATCTCTCGTTCGAATTATCGTTGTAAAACGATATTCGAAGTTGTTTGTATGCTGTAAAGGATATAACAATAGATGGCGCCAAGCATTGCTTCAAATGCTAAGAAAACAATGTGGAAGAATGCGTTAAGATTTTCGTCGGTGTGGTAATCAGCCGTTTAGCTCAGTGGCTAGAGCGTCAGGCCGCGAATGCCGAAGACGTGGGTTCGATTCCCACAGCGGCGACAATCTTTTCGCACTTTTTCTACATATTTTAATACTTAATAGTACTTACTATGTATGAACATTTAATATGTATTGATGTGTATATGTATGTATGTATGTATATATATTTATATATATGTTTATGTTGGTTGTTTTTAGATTTATTACCTAATTATTACATGTTATTTATTTAATTATGTATCGTTTATAACTACTTTACTGCCCTTGACATTTTGTTTCTGTTCTACCTAGGGTTAGCTGATAGATAATGCAATATAGCATTAAGCTCGCCTTTGTACAATTTTCTGTGCAATAAAGATTAAATAAAATAAATAAATAAGAATTGAAGATGTTGCAATTGAAGAATTCATAATTATTATCACCACCATCGTCATCACGGTTCACGATATGACTCTGCTGAATGTAGTACTGTTGAAAGTCTGCTTTGATCTTTGGTATTGCTTGTTGGTCTTGCATAATCTTTGGTATTTTGCAGTTAAATGAAGTACTATTATAAGAATAAGTTTAACTGAGTACAATTATCTGAAAATCTGTATTTTGTCAAAGTGAGATTTGTTTCTAATCTAAATTATAGATTTAATTTGTACTCTGAAATGAGAATTTTAAAAAGTTCATTTGATTGTTAAAATTTATAGATGCCCGTCGGCTGGTTGGTTTTATTTCAAACTCTGCTCCTTGATTTACTTTAGACGTTTTTCGATGGCCGTCCAGCGGAAGTCATTATGCGTTTTCCGCTGTATGGTGTACTGCTACCCTGTAAAATGTATTCATTAAATCAGCGACCACGTTTTTATTTGGCTGGATCTTTCTCGTGAGATCTTTACCTGTTACGGCTTATGTATGCAATTATATCGTCTTCCAAATTTTCATCTTCCGCTGCGTCATCTACAAAGAATTTTCATTCAACAGTTTGTTAACATCCTCCTTTTCGACGTGTTCCGTGTTTTGTTTCGCAATATCGGTGTGACGAAAATCGCTCCAGGGCGGCCTCTTGCAATACCGACGGGCACATGTGACAAATATTGACACGGCAAATGTTTGAGTTGTAACACAAGCGCGCCTTGCTCCGCTCCTGTGCCGGCTTTCGTGTAGGTGTCGCAGCAGAAATGTTGCCCGTAAACCATCGAGATAAGACAATATTTGCGTGAAACAAATCGTGTTTGCTCACTTTATGCCCTACGGATCACACGCCCGAATCGGTGCTCGCATATCTATCCTAGAGGCATCTGCCTCCACACTATTTGCGTTGGTAGTATTGGGTGCTTCTATTAGACGCGTAGGTAATGTCGGCGTGTTGGTGTAGGTTTTAGTATCAATAGAGTACCGAAATGGAGTATCATTTGAGTTTGTTGAGCCACTTGACAGGTAATGATACTTTTCGAGCACAATTCATTTAGTTACGCATATGGTTTCCCAAATGTATTTTCATGTGAATATTTTCACGTAAATAGTCGCACGTGTTTTCTGACATATTTATTAAATCGTGTAAAGAAGTGCGTCAGCTCCTCTTTTAGCGTGTCAAATGCGATACAATAAATAGTTTAGCCACTTTAAAATTATAGTTTTATATTGTAACATATTTGTTGTGTAGTACTTTTCTACGCACATCTAGTTTAGTTGCCAAATCGTTTAGCGTCCGTAAACAATCCATCGTCAAGGTCGGCTATGTTTACTCGACTCCTAGCGCTAACACTCACAATTGGCTCTACTAAATTGCAGGCACGTTTGAATGATGCGAGTATATCTTATTGCATAATACAAATTGCACTGTTGATGGTTGAATATGAACGATAAGTAAGGCCCGACGCACACGAATGGACGCTCGTCACTTTGCTGTCATTCGTATCGTGACGATCTTCCATTATTGACTCGAATAAAATCTAGTGTTAAAGCCGTTTTTAAATAGGTGTAACTCCACAAATGCCTTGATTATTCAAGTCTTTGGGGCAGCATTGAAGTTCACGGCGAGTCCAGCAATTAGGAGTACGAGTATATAATGGGCTTGTGGACAGCTTAATAAACTGGCGGCTGGGCGCGTGTTGTAAATCGCCAGCGGAAACGGGTGCCAGTAATGAGCTTCGGATGTCGCTCAGCTATTGTGCCGAGCGAATAGGTATCGACTTCCTCAGTTCAGTTATCGGTAACAGCGCGGCGCTATAATGAGGTATTGTTTCTGCTTGTCAGGAAGTGTCCGCATCTTATTCTGTTTTCAGAACGCAGATCCGCGCTGTGATCAGATTTCTAAGTCCTTGCCTTCGATAGAGTTTTTAAGACAAGAAGTGAATTGCTTGTCCTGCCTATAATGAATTTATGCTGAAGTAATTATAATTAGCTCACGAGTTCGAAATACTTAGCTCAAAATTTTTCTTCGATATGTTTTTCTGTTAATATAATCTTCACTCAAAGTATCTTCCCAAGTCGTAGAAGCGTCCCGGTTCGATCTGAGATCCCTTCGAACGGATGTACCCTCAGCGTGACGTTCTGGTGGAGACTTCCGTTGCACGGTGCGCCTGAGAACCGATGCGCGCCGCCAATCCGACGGAAACACCACTCTGTTTACTTGACCGCTCCAGCGCCCGCTCGGTCCGTTCTCGATTTTTAGGGTTCCGTACCCAAAGGGTAAAACGGGAACCGTCTTACTAAGACTTCGCAGTTTGTCTATCTGTCTGTCCGTCTGTCACCAGGCTGTACCTCAGGAACCGTGACAGTTAGACAGTTGACATTTTCGCAGATTATGTATTTCTGTTTCGGCTTAAATATAAATACTAAAAGACAGAATAAAAAATATTGGTATGGGAAAACAGGCATGGTTTTTTTTTTGCCCCTTTCATAGAAAATGGTACGGAACCCTTCGTGCGCGAGTCCTACTCGACTTGGCCGGTTTTTATTAAGATCACGCACACGAAATGCCAACGCTAATTTGGGCAATGAACGTGACTGTTAAAACAACCACATATATGATAGGTACATCATAATTGATCAAATGAAGGAAGATCGTGGACGATCTACATAATATTTCTGTTAGCTTGATAAGTTTTATGGTGACAATTAAACCTAAACACACAAACAAAAACTTCTGTTATATTATTTTCTGTTTACGCGAATACTACAAAATTGTAGAGAAGAACTGTGTTAAGGGTTTTATCGCGTTTAATTTGTTCTTAAGTTCCCGACATTTTCGGTCACAGAACAGACTAGGCTTATGACATGTTACTGCGACAGTTAGTTCTTGTTAGGGTTAAGCGGCAAATGAAGCAGACTAAAAGGATCTCTATATGTTCTTCACTATGCGATAATCCTCTATACGTGCCCGCGAGTACGACGCCAGAATTGGGTTAATGTGTCGGTCACAATTCCCAAGGTCGTGATGTCGAGTTTTAGCCTGTGCGATTTGCATTGTAATTGGACGAGAATTCTTTGTGCCGTGATGTATTGCATCGATACGACGCATTTCCGCTCCGTGTGGGTGTTACGTTTGGACAGATGTTATTAGTTATTCTTATCTCGTTTGGATTCTTTAAGACATTGGCGCGCGGGATGATTCTGAGAGGAGAATAAGCAGTGACAGGTATTGCTGGACACTTATTTGCGATGGATAGCTAAAAACCACTTTGCATTTACGATTTTTAAACGGTTCAGATAGTATCCTGTCATGTTACGCATATACACAAAAGTGTCAAAAATACAGCATTTGCATATGTAATGAATAAAAACCAAACTGATAACATTAGATTTATTTCAATTTTATTAGTATCATCAATTGATAACACAGTTTACAGTGAAGTTTTATTAATTTATGATATTAATAATTATAATTTGTTTTTAATTTTGCCTTTTTTATTTTTAACGGGCGGTTTCAATATTCTATCTACAGAGATTTGGATACTAGAGATAGTTATTTGGTATTAGCTCCATATTACTACCGTCAAAATTCGATCTCCAGTAACCAAATCTTTTTGTAGATTGAATATTGAAACCGGCCGTAGGTCGATGTTCCAATTTTAGGGTTCCGTTCCCAAAGGGGCCCCATTACTAAGACACCGCTGTGTCTGTCTCCAGGCTTTATCTCATGAAACGTAATAGTTAGACAGTTGAAATTTTCTGTAGATGTATTTCTGTTGTCGCTATAACAAAAAATACTGTAAAATTTAATTAAAAAAGTATTTAATTGGGGCTCCCATACAACAGGCATGATTTTTTGCCGTTTTTATAGATAATGGTACACAACCATTCGTGCGCGAGTCCGATTCACACTTGGCCGGTTTTAAAGTTCTCTTATCTGTTTAATTTTCAACGGTTCCTTCCATTTTAATATCGTTTACGTGAAAAATTTGTAATAATTGAAATCGAATTCGTATTTTGAATGTTGCTTAACTGTTACGATGGACAGAATTGGCGTCCAGTTTCAATATTAACGTCCTTGACGTGGCTGGACCCGTTTCATTTCCTGTTGAGCGTCGAATTTTGTACACGGATCACGTCACTCATTCAGTCTCAATCAATGGATCGTGGATGAGATGTACGCCGCGTGCGAGGTACATAGCTGGCTATGTACACTTATAATGCAACGGCACGGCCCTTTTCTGTTATGTGGATCTTGGCTTGAGGCTGGTTGAATATCAGCGGAGGAATATCAGCTTTAACTGTAACCCGCAACGCGATGGAGGATACACCTGCGATGAGAGAAGATATGATTAATTAAGTTATACAAGCAGTCATTACTGTTAGGTAAAGCGATTAGCGATAGTTGTGTTAACATCTTATACAGTTCTATGGCAGAACTTCTAGTTTTTTCTTATCGACAAAGAAAAGTGAATTTGTAGAATACTTCACTAATTACTTACGTAATTTATTTTGACATACGCATACGAATGTCTTACGTAAGATGCGAGTGTGGTAAACGGTCAGCGATTATGTTACAACACCGTTTGACGACGCGCACGTAAGTTCATTGAGCACGCTGTTCTGTATAATTGTCCGCCCTTTTCGCGGGCGTGAGTTTCGAAAGCGCATTCGCTCGGAATGCGATGTGTCGGATCTGTTAATGCGGGCATTTCTAGTCGCGGGTGGATGGGGGAGGGTCGGAGGGCCGTCCCGCCAAGGCCAGCGGGTTCGTTAGGGCCATTCATGGATGCCTGCGCGTTGCCCCGTTCCCTCTGCCTCGGAACAGGATACCCTCTCCTGCTGTGTGCTGTGCTGTCCGTTCGATCGGTTTTTGTTTTTTTTTTAAATCGGCTTCGAGCAAAAAGCCGGGGCGCAATCGCACTGCACCGGATGCACTAACGAGTGTGATTTTTTTTAACGCACAACGAACAGTATTAGTTTGTTTTTGTTCGGGCCCGTTTCCGTTTTGTCTTTGTTGTGCTGCCTAACGTTACGTGGACACAACGATTGTACGCGTCGCCAGTTTCGTTCCAGTTGTGCCAGGAAGTATATCGTTTGTTTGTTTGCTTACGCTCGTGACGTGTGCCATTGAAATTTAACACCAGAGGGTAGCGAGTGACGTATGAACAGCCTTCAATTGGAGCGCGGGATGAATAGAACCTAATAAATGTGAGGACGCTATTTGGCCCATAAAAAAGATTCATTTGCTTATGTCATATATTGGTCTTACTCGTCTTTCCTTGACGTCCATCGTGTTTTTCATCTTTTTTCTAACTCTTATATTTACAAGCTTTTCCCAGCATCCATTCATCTGGAATTAACTTTCCTTTATTGGTTTACAACCTATTTGATATCAACAGAATGGAATAAAACCAGGCCGACCTAATACCGATGCGGAACTGGCCTCGGTGAGCTATCGAAATTGGCGGATCTCGGTGCCAATTCGGGACGCGCGTCGCGGGCAATCCGTCACGGTTGGCGTACGTGAATCGATGGAGTTTAGCTGCGCGGTGTAACGGTATTCCAGTCGATATGCGGCAGGAAGGCGGACGCTATAAACGCGGCTGCGGTGGCACACGAAAACCGACGTATCCCATTGCCGGTGCCCGCTCGCCGGTGAGTAAGATCTCCCCTCTGGAAACATTCCCGTTTCCGACGGGGCCGCGGATCTTTCGGATCCGTGCCCGGACATCCGCGCGGCGGATTAGCGCTTCGCACCCGAACATATTCTAAAGACTCGCTAATATCCGCACGGCAGCGCTAAAAGCCCCTCGCTCATTTGCATTACGACTCTCGGCTGCGAACAATTAAATCTATTACGATTTTCCGTTAGCGATAGTTATGTTCGAAATTCTCTAATCTTTATATAGTACCATATATAAATCTTATTTTTTTATTGTTTCCTTTATCGCCGCTCACTCAGCGGCGAGTTCAATTTAAAAATCCATAAATCATTCGTTGGATCTTGTGAAAACGTTTAAAAAATCCAAACCCAACTCACAATTTGTTTTCGCGGATGGCTTTGATGAAACGAGAAGAACAAAAACGACCTTCCTGTCCGCAGGAACCGGTCTCTGTGTTTATTTCGGCCGTGTTTACCGTGGAGATCATAAAACTAAGTGAAATCTACGCAGCGAAGGCGATTTATATCTGCTTCTATGATGAATGGACGCGTTAGGAATTCGATGGTATTCGCCAATCGTTCCCGGAGCTCGTGCCCGAGTTAGCAACGGGTTCTTTCCGTCGATGGAAACCTGTTCATAAATTTGCCTTTTATTTCTGGATTTAAAAACAGCGACGTATTTTTTATTCTTTTTATTTTTTTTTTATTTAATTAGGATCGCAAACCGAACATTACACTCACATTACAGAATAATGGACACAGAAAAAGTTGATACGGAACTTAACACACAAGTGAATGTTCTTCTATGAGCGAACACAACATGCACAAAAAACACTCTCAACAATAAATAATTGTACAATGAAAGAAAAAAAATAACTTCAAACAAAATAAAAATGAAAACAAAAGAAACTAAAGCTACATTAAAAATATTTAGATAAAACAACATTTAAACTTAACTTAAAATTACGAATAATAAAAAACTATTGAAATAAATTTTAGCTTAGCCCTTATATATTTTTTAATGTTACTACACCGTACACTAAATATGTCGAAATCCTGGCATATAGCATTGCAGCTCGAACACAGCCGGTACAAAGGAGAGTGCTGACCGTAACGGGTGCGTCGGAATGGCAGCGCAAACACATTTCGCCTCTGCAAACGGACACCATGTCGTGGCAGACTGAGTTTTAATTTCTCGAGAAGATCGGGACTTTCTATTTTACCATGCAATATTCTGTACAGTAATACAATGTCAGCTACTTCGCGTCTACCAGCAAGTGAGTTCATTTTATAATGTTGCAGACGAGAGTTGTAAGACTTCAATGTTAGGCAGCGATTGCTAGCGTAAGTCAGATGGTACAAGAACTGTTTTTGAATCCTTTCTTCTTAGTACTTTCAGAATAGATCGATAAGTTGCACCTTTTCAGACTCGAAATACAGGTTTTGTACATCGATTCTTTATATTGAACCACACTTTTAAATTACTGATGTTGTATCTAAAGCTGCATGATATCTATATAGTATTTTTCTAACATTATTATATTATTTTAATTGTATAATGGAAAAAACATTTTTCCATAAAATGACGACCAATAATCATGACGAGGGTTTTTCTCAGACTAAGGAAGGACGCCCATCGTTATCTCGTTATTGACTCAAGATTGCTATATATTTAGTTGTAAGCAGAACGCACTTATAGACGTTTCCGTCTATTCAATAATTACGTTCTTTTTTCTACATGTACCTTGGTATCCGGTGACGTAATCGGCAGGAGATTCGTAGATAAAACACACCGAAGGAACATCTCGTGGGGAACTATTCGCTTCGTAAGTCGTTCTAGGTGGGCTGCAGTGTATGCCGCATGCTTCATCCAATATGGCGCGGTGAAAGTAACAGTTGGCTGCGGTCGATGCCTTCCTATGTGACATATTGTATTCAACTCCACAAACGGAATGCAGCACATACATCCGCATCGTACATCTAAAGGCATATCATTGCTATCACTAATATACTTGAAAGTTATTAATGGTTGGTGAATACGATCACTAATAATATCTGAGTCATTTGTTTTTTTGTGTAAAAACATTAAACAATAAAAGGCAACTCTTTTAATCTGCCTGGCGTCGAGTAAACTAGTAGGACGGAACTCATGCTGCGTTGCTTTATTAGTTGGCCTTTCAAAACTATGTATTCAGTTTTTAAAGCTGATTGGGTATCAGGATATACAGAAGTGGCAACCTGCCAAAATATTATTGAAAATGTTCTGATACCAACAGTGCGGTTTGACCCTGGTTTCATTACATACCAGACGAAATATAAAAGTATGAATACTTCACCGGTCTTCCGTCAGCGCCTTGTTCTTTTTAGATCACTCGTTCAACTGAAGAATCTTGGCAGTTGGTAGTTTATAGTTTTTTAATAGGTCTTTTAAATTTATATATATTTGTTTTATGTGAGAAAGTGGCAAACGAGCTGGCGGTTTACCTGATGTTAAGTGATAACCGCCGCCCATAGACATTTGCAACACCCGTAGGGTTGCAAATGCGTTGCCATCTATAAATGAAGTGGGTATAAATAAAGTAATATAAATTTAACATTTCTATATAACTCAAACAAGGTGTTGAAAAATATCTCTCCGATCTCATTGTATAGGCGTTTTACGCTTACACAACCCTGACGATTATTGTTCTGCTTTGCGAAACGCAATATGTAACCGAGCCTTTTAGAAGTTGATAGGTTGCTTAACTATAAACTGTATGTTCATGACCGCACGATGTTATGTTGAGTACTTTGTGGTTACGTACTTTATAAGGCGGGTGTCTTTCAGCCTTTAATATTACAGAACATATATACATAAGTAAGAAAAACATGAAGCAAAATTTACCTGGTTCACTACATAGTATAGAACAAAGTCGTCCCGCTGTCTGTCTGTTCCTATGTATGCTTAGATGTTTAAAACTACCCAACGGATCTTGATGCGATTTTTTTTACTAGATAGAGTGATTCCAGAGGAAGGTTTATATGTATAATACATTGCACCCGTGCGCAGCCGGGGCAGGTAGCTAGTCATTTCTAATAAAGCCCCAGGAGTCAAACTGGTCTATAAATTCGGAGTACCCAGCTACCGTGCCTTTTTTTGGCGTTATGAATCAAAATTACTTAATGTAATAAATTTCGGGTTCTATTGCCTAAATGGTTTGTTTAGGTACACGAAAGCTTCAGAAATGTTTCACTCACACTGGACAGATATTTGAATCCATAAGAGCGGGGAATTTCTAAAAGGAACTCCATCAACGCCCCCAACTAAACCTACGCTCGTGCTCGCCACCCTACCTATGGCGTGAAACTTGATACATCAATATACACAAATGTTGATGTTCAGTGATACAAATTACCGAGACACGTCTACCTTCGCAATGAAAGCGGTCGCACCCACAGCCGCCTATCAATCACTAAGAATCGCACGGGATCAATGAGAGCTGGTGCTGTGGGCGGCCGGTCGACGAACTGCGCGGGCGCCGCCTGCCGCCGTGCTCTAACTCAATTTAACGAGAACCTAACGCACATAGCCGCCCCACTGTCACCGTACCGGGCGCACGGAGGCATTCCATCGTAGTAACTCCTCTAGATTAACACCTACGAGCCATTCGGTTTCAACTCTCAATTGCGGGGACCACGGTAAGCCTGAGTTACGACCCGAAGCCAGCGACGCCGGAGCTGTTCGGGTGATATATCACGGCATTAGCTTTGCAGTGGCGTCGATTCCGATGACTCGGGACGTGGGAATTGCTCGTCGAGTTCCATATGTCGCGATTGCTCCATTGTCTCGTCCGATAAGTTGGCCACCGCGGACCGGATCCGCGAGGATGGGTGTCACCTTGAGTGCCGGATGCCGGCGCGCTGACGGGTGAGCTATCGGCCGTCGATCGCGCGGGCGTCTCGCTGCTTTAGCCGGCCGCCCGTCAGTCCGCCCCGGCGAGAGGCGTATTCGTTTTACGAGCGTCCACGTCCGCCGCGCGTGCCCTCGGCCAAGGTCAGCCCTGCGAGCGATCGAATCGCGACGCGCGCTTCGGCGTCTTCATATTAGTCTAGTCGATACGGCCCGATACTAATGATGCATTGGTAGGGACGTGCGCGCTCGCCTCCCGAGCGGAAACGGCCGGTGCGTGGGCGACGTCTACGACTGCGAGTGACCGCCCTCGCCTCGGCCCGCGGTGACAAATTTAATTTCGTCGTCTATTTCTGTGTTCCGTACTCGGAGCCGCTCGGAATTTATCATCGCGCTTTAAGTAATTGCCGCCGGTGTCGCCACTCCACGTAAGCTTAAGTGTTTCGTGATGTCGTGTGGGTAACGAGCTTCCCCGATTATGTTTTTAATAATAGCCGAGCCCGTTAGAAGCCGCAGTAACTCAGCGAATAACGTCCACACTTTACATATTATGCCGTAATGCTCTTAAGTAATAACTTTCTAAGTGGATTATGTTTCGGTATTACTATTTTGGGTTCTCTTATTGGGATTATAATTAAAGATGGACAGAGGCGGGTGTGTAGAGGTGTGATAGCTCAGTCTCTGGCCAGCCTTTAATGCATTATAGTTAAAATCCCGGTGCCGACACCAAAATGAAATTGTTATTTGTAGTTATATTTTCTGATTGAACTCGAGCTGGGAGTAAAAAAGTATTGAGACGAAACATTAGCTTCAAAAAAAAAATTCAAATTTGAACATTACAGCTTGATAATTTGGGGTCGCAATGGAAGGTATGCCAAAGTTACTATATTACAGTAGATTGAGGGGCTTCATTCTTTATTTTTGACCTTGACAAACAGGTAACTAACGACTTTTATGGAGTACTTGTGAATAATTAATATGAAGACCGGCATATAAGCCTTTAATAAAGTACTTCGTTTACACACGTCCGTCGTTCACCGCGGACAGTTTCCGATTGATACGCGCCATCGCAATTTGTAACGCCACCCGTTTATTTCCGCATCCGCCAATGTAGTGCCGTCCACTGCAATTTAAACATCTCACCGCCTGACGAGAGGTATTAGGGCGGTTTTATGATCGATCACGCGTCAAACTGAAAATCAGCCTTCACCGCTTCGATAATAAAGTCGAATATTGCCCGCTGACGTAATCGCCCTTTGATGTAGAACGGGAATATGAACAAAGACGGATGTCCGGTGCCGGTCAGGATTTGTTTCACACGAAGCGATTTCTCCGTCTGGAATTCGAAGCGTCATACGGAGGCGGTGGAACTATTCCAAAGCCTATTCCAATAATATGATCTTGATTTTATTAGCTTTTGATGGAGTAAGACAGATCATGCCTTTGCCGCTCTTTTCGCGATGTCATGCGTGCGAACATATCAGAATAAGTCAGCGGTTGAAACCATTATGGTAGTGCTGACGTCTTATTGTCCTCCTGTGAATGTTTCTAGTGTAATATTACATTCAGAGTCATTTGGAAGGTTACGCTAAAGATATCTTCCGGTGCTTTTGACGTCCGAGTGCCTTGTGCGTTACAAAGCACCGAGCCGCCGCCCGAGTAAACATCATTTGTTGCCCGGCTGCTGGGCTCTTTCGGCCCTTTGTCAACTCCCGCCGCGCAAAGGGACCGACCTAATCGCATTACCACTTCAATCCGGAAGTTTGCCCCCACTGTGGAACCTAAGCGGAAGTAAGTTCTTTGGACAATGGCACGGTTTCGGGCGAGAATAGAACTTGTCAAAGGAATGTGTTTATATCAATAAATCTGTCTTGTTTTTTTCGGTAATCTTGTTTGAAGAGCATACTAGGGCTACGGGCAGAGTATTGCTTAAGATGCTTAGTTTGGTAGAGCAGTATATAAACTAATTTTGTTAAAAGAGTTTATATAATACATATGTCGCATGTATACTTGCTACTTTAAGCGTCCATTATTATGTATGCCACTAAGCTGACGGTTACTGATCTAAAACTAACCAGTGACACGAGCACTTGATATTAGATGCTAATGATGTTACGCACCATTTATCTATCACGATGGATAGAATGACAAATATTGGCTTATGTATTGGCTTCGGAGAATAGGTAAAAAAGCAAACTGTAATTACGTATTCTATCGTTACTTTGATTTGACTACTCCAATTGCTTTTTTACTCATTAATTTTTTAAGACGCTGTCAACATAGAGCCATGATAGCTCAGTGTCCGGGCGCGCGCCTTTAATTCAATATACTCGAGCAACCTGAGTTCGATCCCCGGTGCCGGCACCAATGAAGTTTTTAACTTTAAGTGCTGACTTATCACGTGCTCCGCGGTGAAGGAAAAACATCGTGAGGAAACCTGCATATTTTCGAAATAGTAACAAAAAAAAAATATATTTCGAAAATATGTGAAGTCCACCAATCCGCAGTGGGGCCGCGTGGTGGACTATGCCCTGATACCCTCTATATAGAGGAGGCCTTTGCCCTGCAGTGGGACATGTATAGGCTGTTACTTTACTTTTTTTTTACAACATAGTTATGAACATAAAATATATGGTACTAAAGTATTCTTGTTCCTTCCACCAGAATATTCCAGTATTCTAGTGCTCTCTTGGAAAATCTAATAGCGAGCGCGCATACAATGGGCTCGTGATGTTGCCGTCAGCAACAAAAGCCGTTTTGAAAGGCATAAGATTCCCTGAAGCGGTGTGGCTTGTTGAGAACATTTTTTTCTTTTCGTATCCACCCGAAGCGTGTGCTAAGTTATTGACCATGTTCTGATTGTTCCGAATCGCTGGTTTAGCAGATTTTGTGGTTATTGAGTTGGCTTTTTAAGATTTCGCTGCGGTCATCTCATTTGAGATCATTTAGAGTGAATTTTTAATTTTAATGTTGTGGGTAGAAATGAATTTCTTTGTAGTGATTGAACTTTAATAGCTTAAATAACGTCATGCTTCACAAATTAGCTAGGCCATGGTAAAGAGACTTAATAATTCTTTTTTATTTAATACATTCACTCATTTAATGGGAGTTGATCTGGGCTGTTCACGGAAACTGCTGCGTGGTCGTATCTCAGTGCGGGCCCGAAGACTTACTTCCAATTTGCAACAGTCGTTATAGGTAATTGAAATTAAAAGGAAACAGTTTGGCAGTCGTTTTGCTCGTCCGATTATAATGTGTCTTCTAGGCAAGAGTGAATAGGCTGTCACTAAGCTAATGCGTTTACCATTACAGATTACATATTATTTACCATCAGTTGAGATAGTAGTCACACAATAGAGGTTTTCGGGTGAAAAAATTCAATTACTTTCAATAAACTACTTCTATTATAGCTCATTGTCCGGGCTCTCGCTTTTAATTCAATGTACTCGAGAAACTGCTGAGTACAGAGTTCGATCTCCGGTGCTGGCACCAATTAATTTGTTAACTTTAAGTGCTGAATTATCACGTGGATGGAAAATATCTTGAGGAAACCAGCATATTTTCGAAATAACAACAAAAAAAATGTTTCGAAGATATGTGATGTCCGCCAGGGGGCGCGTTGTGGACTATGTTCTAATGCCTCTGTACAAAGGAGTACTTTTCCTAGCAGTAGGATATATAAAGGCCGTTACTTTACTACTTTAAACTACCGTCGAAAACTTGGAGATGCTTTTAAACCAATTCTGTTTAGGTGTATCCGTTTGCGTTAAGCAACCTCATAAACGCGGGTGGTACCGTTCAGGTTGAATCTTACGTGAATATTATTGTCTCACACGTTCAAATCGGGCACCGGTCGTGGAATTTGCGCTGTTGCGTTCGCGAACTGCGCACGTATAGCAGAACGCGTACCGTTATTACCGTTGGTTTATTCGGCGCGGGCGCTTTGCATACAATGCCCAAAGCGAAGTGCGCTTACGCAACGGCCGGATGCGACGACGCCGCGACGGCTGACGACGTCCTACCGCGCTGGCCACTTGTTGAAGTACACGAGTTTACACTAACCGCGAATAACTTCGCGTGTCTCACGTTTAAACGTTTCTCGTTTGTTTGCGACGCCGCGCTGTCGGCTCATGAATTGAACTTTGAGTTGCATTCCATTTTACTGTATTGCGGCTACGCATAAGTTGCACGGATAGGCGGGCTCGACTGGAGAACCACGACCGCACGACGTAGAACGACGTTGATTGGAAGTATAACACTTCTGCATTTCGTCTGGTGTATGAGGTAACTGGGCTCAATCTTTTAAAAGCTGGCATCGTATCTGCGACCCAAACGGTGTTTCAGGTGGCAATGTGCGGAGGTAATCACTTATGATTAGGCGAAATGGCCGCTTATGTACACCAAGCGCCATCTGCCTACTTATGAAAAGCAAGTGCCATTTTCACCCACACATCTAAAAAAAATCTTGGTTTTCGATGTGCTGTCCAATACAATACAATATACAGGTTTTTGTTTGATTGAGGCCTTGAATTATCATTAAAGTAAAGGTTGATATAATTATCAATAATTTTATCCTTTAGAGCCGTGATAGCTCAGTGTCCGGGCGCTCGCCTTTAATTCAATAAACTCGAGCAACCTGAGTTCGATCCCCGGTGACGGCACCAATGAAGTTTTTAACTTTAAGTGCTGACTTATCACGTGCTCCGCGGTGAAGGAAAACATCGTGAGGAAACCTGTATAATTTCGAAATAATAACAAAAAAAAATATTTTTCGAAGATATGTGAAGTCCGCCAATCCGCAGTGGGGCCGCGTGGTGGACTATGCCCTGATACCCTCTGTATAGAGGAGGCCTTTGTCCAGCAGTGGGACATGTATAGGCTGTTAATTTACTTTTACTTTTTTTATATTACCTTTACTGGAGAATAACATTTTACTGTACTACGACATTACGGATACAAAAAATTACACATTAACATTTATCATGATTTTTGTAGCCATGTGTTATATAACGGTGCTTTTTTTTTATTACTTAAATGATACAGATAGGTAGATAAAGACAGAATTATGCATTTTTACAGATTCTTAAATGTAGCACGAAATTTTAAGTAACAAGAGTGCTAACGAAGAATGTTTAACTTTAACCTTTTTTTTATGTGAAAAGTTGCCAAGCGAGCAGACGGTTCACCTGATGTTAAGCGAATACCGCCGCCCATGGACGTCTGCTACACCCGAGGGTTCCAGATGCGTTGACAACCTTTAGAAAATTGGGCTCCGGACACCTCACTCACCAGACGAAACGCGAAATTATTATACTTCCTCTTTACGCCGGTCTTCTGTGAGGTTGTGGTACTTACCCGGACGAGCCTTGCCCATTCGTGCAACAGTCGAGGCTGCTGCGTGGCCCTACTACCGTTAAGCCTAACCTAACCCTGTTTAGATGAACATCTAAAAGTTCCCATACTGCACTTCTCACTACTCTATTATTTTAATCTTTCGAACTAATTCTTTATAATAAAGTAATTGGTTTATTTTGTGATGGCTTATAATTTTGGTTTTTCTAATTCATGAACCCTCTGCTAGGGAAAATACTTTAACAGTGAGAGAATTTACTATGCTTGAATTTATTAATATTAAAAAATAACTGTTTTAAATTATTTATTCGGTGTTAATTTCTAATTCAATGTATTTAAACTTAACGTAAACTATAAATTGCGACAATTACGGAATAAAAAGAAACATGTTCCTGATTTGCTATAAACATTTTTGCTGGCATTAAAGATAAAGGAAAAGGAAATGATCCTCTACGATTTGTGTCGTCAATTAATTTGATTAGTTAATCGAAAAAATCCGTTTGACTTTTCTTGTACGACATCATTAATTTATGTTTATGCGACTCGTCAACGGCCTTTCCTCGAAGTCTCTCTTGGACGTTTTTACGCTCGCAAAACAGTAGTCCCATCGACGACGGCTGCGTATACGTTTTTAAAGCTGCTTCTTGTCATTCGTAAAGCGGTGGCCGTTCGCTTAGTATTCCCGGCGCGCGCACTGAAACCGCCTGCACACGAATACGCGGATCTATGAAAGTATGATCGCATATCGCCCCGCGGTGGGGGGCAAAACGCGCGGGTCCCGGACTAATGAGGTGGGCCTCGTAAAAGATTCATAAGTCGAGCAGCGGGTGCTCTCAAAGGGCCCGCGGCCCGAGCGCCGGTGGGTGGTCCGTACAAGGTCGCCCTTGAAACATTCATAGGTTGGGACGTGCGACACATCGAGAGCAGTCAACAGGCCCCGCCGCAATGTAAATGGATCCACTCGCTTATCTCTCTTCAATTAGCCCGTCGCGCTACCGATGTAACTACACCCTGTATGTCGTTATTGTATCGCGAATGCCTAATTTAATGATGCCCTTTTAAGTTTCCATCGATCGTTTACCTTTCGGAGTTTTTCGAACGCATATCGCTTACACTGGCGAGGTACTGGGAGGACGCGTAAATAGTATTTGTAACATACGTGTGTGCGTATATGTTCTGTATACATTTGTGGAAGCAAATGAGGCGTGTAAGGATCGTGGAAAATGGATATCCGTGATAGGTCTCGACCACTCTGTTTATACATTGGAATTCGAGTGGAATAATTCTAAAGGAGTACCTAATACACATGTTTTATTTTCTGGTGTAGCTATATTTAGTCATGCGAAATATGGTTTTGGATTACATTCCATTAAAAAATTCTTTCGATCTTGCATAAAAAGAGGCCTCGAATTTCACTGATATATCCAAATTTACGATCATAATATAATATTTTAAACCATAGAATTTAAAATAAACACAAATGACTGGTTTACTAAGTTAAAATTGTCAAGGCTTCTGTGGTTTCGTTAGATTTGATTCCGCAATATAAAGGCATTATCAATATGGTGTCGTAGGCTCCCATAATTTTTTTTTGGGTTACAACGATTTTTAATTACTGGCAGTGAAGTTTGTACTATATAGATCTTGAAGACTTTATGGCACATACGTTAACAATCTAGAAAGTTGATAAAAAACACTAATTTAGCTTAACCCTAACGTTTAGCAAAGGAATACGATCGCTATAATCGATTAAAATTATTACAGTAATAAACAAGATAATTCATTTATTTTGTCCAATACTGGCTTGATTGCTCCCGTTTCGCACTGACAGACATAAACTTCTTCTGCCAACTTTAAGCCGTTTTTCAATTTAATTAAACGAAAACATCATTCAGCGTGCAGTCATCATCATCCTGCAGCCCGTATCCTACTACGTTATCTGCAATTTAGTAAACCCACCACGGTTTACTAAATTGCAGATAACGTATAAACAAAAAGAAATTAACCTCATTTTGATTTTATAGGTATACATCCTGTTTACCGTTGCGTTGGACTTTGACGTTTTCAAATTGCAAGAATACACTGTCGGAAGTAAGCGTATCTTGGTTAGGCATTCCGTTAGCTTAGCGGTTAGCACCTGAAAAATTTTGCCGATGGTGCTGTTTCAAATCGCCTTCTTACGTATGTTTTGACAATATTGTATAAGATAGTATACAATGATATAGTGCAAGATGTTTTGTTAACTGTACAACGATTTTAAGTGAAAAGCTACACGAAAATTAAAACCTCCGACAGAAGACCTTAATTTATTTATGGATGTTAGTACTTAAAATTGGGAATGTTTTATCTTTTAAAATTGTTTAAAATTGCCTAACGTTGGGCAGACAGTCCAGTATTTACCATTTGTTCTTTAAAAAAACCTAAATTTTTTTTTCTCGATACATAAACAGCAAAGGTTATGAAAAGTTAGCAACGCATCAACAACCCAACAGGTGTTGCAAATGTCCATGATTGGCGGTTAACATTTAACATCAGGTGAGCCGCCAGCTCGGTTGCCACATTCTCACGTAAAAAGAAGTGTGTTGGAAAACTTTTGTGCTAGGGCCACGCAGACTCTTTTAAATTCGTTCAATAGTGGAAGCTGCTCTGTGACCCTATCACAGGAAATAATACGGCCCACGAGAGCAGGCACGGCGAGCCGGTTTGCACACGCGGCGACTGAGTAGACTTTGGACAGACTATACTTAATTGCTCGCCTCAAGCGATAGTGCCGGTTAAACAGGTGTTAGGTGTCGGTAACGTAAGCCCGGTCGCCTTCGCACGCAGCGGGCGAACACGCCGGCTGCACGGACTAGCAACGCGTTAATTGTTCATGTACTCGCAACTAAGATTCACCCACTTGTCAACCGCAGCGTATAGAGCATCGCCGTGATGGAGATGTGTGCTTATATTTCGCCTACGACGATTCGCCTTTTCCTTCCGTCGTCGAAGGTTTGACCGCGAAACGTTTTCTACTCTCGTTGATTATCTGTGTTCGTCCATATATTCATTAACATAAGAGCGATATAAAATTCATACTTATCATTAACAAGCAAACTATTTTGTATCATTTTGTTTATTAATTATTAATTTTACAACACACAAAATCTGTATAAAAGCCAAGCTATCGTCAAAAAAAGAAATGTTTGAGGTGTTAAACTAGTAATAATGCGACTATATCCGGAGCTGGTGTACTATTTTATATTTTTAGTTGGCTTAAATATTGCACGGATTGAATGTTGCGGTCGGGGCAAATGGCAAAGGTTTCGTCTTGGCGTTTTTGCCTTTAGGGGTGCGTGGGAATGCACAGGGCACGTCTCCAGACGGTGTCCCGTTCATGATATGGACATCCGAAGCACGCGTGGGAACACCGCGCCGATTGCTGGAGCCAAGAGCGGCAGAAAGCGAAACGCATAGAACGCGAGACTTCTCGTTCGGTGGCTTGCGAAGCTTTCTCGGGTGCCTTGTCTCGGTTTTATTGCATACGGCTTTCGAATATTGAGTAGAACAAGTTGCATTTAATTCCAGTTGATAATAAAGTTTTTAAATGCCTACACCACCACCAGCCTGCGGCATACGGTCTCTCCCAAAGTCATCTTAGGTTGACGTCTCAACGACTAGTTGCTGTTACAAATGTTAATTTTTACTAAATGGATCCGGAAGTATGATGGTTTTTTGTTTACTATATGATGCGACAGGTTCTGGTTTTCCAGCTGGTGGCTGGTCTATTATGTAGCGACTTCTCATTCCTATTGATTCAATGAGTGAAGCTGAGAGGGTCGGCGTGGGCTCTGCGTTTCTTAAATCGTCCTAGGCGACGCATTACAGGTTGTCATTTTGAATGATATCTCATCTGAAATTTCTATGGTGTTAAGAATTTGTATGGAATCTCTTTTACCATCAGTTGAGATTATTCCTCGATCGCAGCTTATCATACTAATACTCGTATATTGTGTTAAGTCTCGAGATTATTTATTTATTAAAAGGATTATTCTTTATACAATTTATACAACGCGTATCCGCTGACGTAATCTTTTGACCTTCTATAGCGAATGCTTTATATCGGATTAGGGGAGCGGAGAGGAAGGGGAGGAGGGCACCTTACTAATGTAATTACTGTCATCTTGCGGAACGAATTGTCAGGTATTCATTCTGACGCGGCCTGTGTCCTTGACTCTCAATAATTAGCAACAAATACGTATTATTTCTTACAGTTACTGCAAAACATTCCAATATGTATATATATATTCTCCACCCTGGCCGATATGCACACAAAATTTCACGGAAATCGGTGTAGCCGTTTCGGAGTTCAAGTACAAACACCGTGACAAGGGGATTTTATATATTAGATTAGTATATGAATTACTGAGACCCAAAATTATTTCGTTCATAGAACATTAGATATTATTGGAAAACTTAAGCATCAATCTCCAAGTGAACTGAATATTGTGAATATTCTTTTCGATCTTATGTAGCCTTGGATTATGAATCCGCAGGAGACCGTTTTATATTACCGCAGGATGTTTCGGTACATAGTCTCGTCATGTATCGATACTTAAGTTTAGTAATCAGTGAAAAAGGGATAACTTAGTTTGAGCTTTATAATTTAATTAATTATTACAAATTGAATGAAATATATTTGCGCAGCGGCGTAATTCAACCTTATTATAAGCGTTTAGATGGTTTCGACTCATCAACGTTATTTTTTTTACTTGTTACTAATATAAATCTATTATATTGTTTAATTAGCTTATGACATAAAAGCATACGTTTTGTTTTAAAACTAGGTGTATAATGACTTCAGTACTGGAGTGTTATGTACCTATATCGGTGTGATGGAATGGCATCTCTTTGGTATTTAGTTATAAATATATTGTTCTAAATGTTGTGAACATAAGGCAAAAAAGCGAAACATAATAAAATATCACGATATAGGATGACTATCAAACCATTTTTAAAAAAATTCAGTTTTTTTTATTTTCCGACCGGTCGAAAACGGTCAACTTTTTGCCAAACTAACAGTGTCGCTGCAACGGAAGCGGTGGAGATAAGTCGGTACTGCAGAGGAGACGGTATACGTACAGCGGCACTTGTTATGTGGGAATGCAACGCTCTAGTTGCCGCTGCGACGTACCGTTATGCGAGAGGAGCTCTAGTCGGGGCGGTCGCTTCGCACGGAGAGGGACTTTAGGCCGTGGGTTCGAATCCCATTGTAATGTCTACTATTATGTATTTGTGGGACGTGAAAAAATGACTCCCGTCTGGCTTCATCTCTGGTTACTTGGAGAACTAAGGCTTTATGCTTTGATTACTCGGAGTACTAAGACAGGGTCGGGATTTATGCTTCGACGCACTGCATACGACGTGGCAAAGGTCGATAAAAATAGTTGTGCCTAGTAGGTACCAAGTTTTATTATATTTGTAATTTTTCAGTAAGTCTCTAACGTTCACCTATATTTTATACCGTGGGAAAGGTGAGATCCGACACATTTAATGCATCGTTGGAATTTAATGGAAATGAATAATAGATGTACACTTATATTCAAATCTTGGATAAATATCACGACATTAAAGTCTGTTTTACTATGAACCTTGAGAATATACGAGCCGGAGGTATTTCTGAAAAATAAATATGAATATGCTAATTAATATTGAAGATGAATATGGAAAATTGTGTAACATGCGTTAAGTGAGTAATTAAATGCAAATCTTTATTTAAGGTTCTTAGCAATTCAAGGTAACAAATTATAAATGACTCTTAATATATTCCAGGCAGCTAAATAATGTTAAAATTCAGCACAATAAGCAATGGCTATGACCATGTTTTATTATGCAAATTTTATTTAGACCTAGCAAAACTCGGCATGTGTTGCAATGCCGAATGAACTTTCATCACAATCGTACAAACATTCGTTTTATACAAAACACGCGAGACGTAAGCCCTTTGTAGAATGAACTAAGCTTCGGGAAAATTTAACTCGAATATACTATTTTTATATTTTGTTCTTTTTCTTTTGATCTCGGAACGGAATGCCGATTCTATTTCTCATTTTACCGGTATAAAGTCCGAATATCCAGTGGCCCGTGCTTCTTCATTTCTAACCAGATTAAATTCTTCGAGTCGATAGATCACACAGAGTAGACTTTTCTTATGTTTCTCCATTCATTACTTATATTTGATTTCTCAATTGTCCGTTACAGTACACATTTCGCTGCAAGACGGTTGCTTTCTGCAATAGTAAAATATCTTTTTGTTCAAAATTAACGAGTCGCACTTAGCATTGTCTTAATGCAATACGATTTCAGCAACAATCAGAATTACGATCCAAACTTTATAAAAGCCTTTTGTTTTTCGGTTCTCACCGCGTCAATTAAAATCTTAGGCGGTCGGTGATCATTGTTTGCGCTTTTTGCGTGTCATTGTTAGCAACAGGTTGTTACTTCTCACGTGTTTCCTGTACAGTTTGGGCTCGCAGCGCGCATTTCGAGTTAATTTATCATAAAACGTTAATAATTTGTATGGCCGAGCGGAAATCCTTTAAGGCGACCTCTGATATTTCTACGCGGATCGTTGTCGACGGCGATAAACGCCTCTCGCACTTATTAGCGGCTCCGGCGTCTCTATCGATTGTTTTTCATCGCGCAGGAAGTGCGTGAGGGAATCCGATCCCTGTTGCTTCGTACCACCGTATTGACGGTCGAATCGATCGATTTTTTTTTAAGGGAAATAGCTCCGTGATTTAATGATTTCGGGTCGCATTCAATACACGTTCGTGTTTGTTATCCAATTCAAAAGTCTCTCTATCTGATTCCAATTCGTGTTTCCATTTCTAATTAAGCGCTACCAGTCATATCTAACTGCAGGATATATCAAGATTTTTGGAGCTGACTATAAAGTTATTTATTATTGAACTTGATGTATGAATGGTCGGTATAGGTAACTGTACGCGGCTAGATCAAACTCTTGCTCGATTTACAACTTACGTCTGTGCGTCAGCTAGGGTCACACACTCGACCACCCGTTTGGGGCGTTTTGTATTCAACCCGCGAGCTTGGAGGTCGTTCGTCCCGGCTCTAGTCTCATGTCGGTTCGCTCTTTTGCATGCCGCTGCCGGAATCCCGATTCCTCGCGCGTTTCGATATTAGCACATCGGTGGCAAGGCGCCTCATGAATTTTTATGCCGCGACCGCAATAGCTCCAGCACTGATTGCGATTTCCTCCCCCGTTCCCATCGTCTGCCGTGTCGAACTTTCCATTGCGCATTCCCGAACTAAAGATGCCAAAGAGTCTATTTAAAATAATATCATTTAAGTTGTGTATGACCGTGCGGAAACCGGTTCGTCTCGTTGCCGTCGGTACAGTCGCTCATTGGTACGAGGTTACGCGGGGCCGGCAGAATTTACGATACCGTTTACGCATTCGTAACAGAGAAGCCCCTCCGATAACCGGTCGCCGCGCCGGTGACGTTCCCATAACATGCCGATTTGTTCGAGCGTCAACCCAATCGCTTTATTATCTGTGCAAAACCGCGCGAGCGACCATGATTTATCCGGTTGAGCCCGCTGGTGTTAGTATAAAAGTCGGAGGATATTTCCTTTGCTTTGTTAACGGTTGGGCGGAATTAGTAATGGCGACGTTGTAACGGTGGCCCAACGCGCATGTCGGCCGTGCTGTGACGTGACTCGGGGATGGCGCGAAATTCAGATGTTATCGACTGTCATTTTAAAGGCGACGAATGGCCATTTTCGCGCTTGATTTTTTCATCTTTCACTTGTTGGTGTTGGCGAATAAAATATAATCGCACCTCCATGAAGATCATGTCAGCACATTATTCAATGCTTTAATTGTTAAATTATGGATTTTGAGTTTAGCATTTTTAAGGATTTTTTACCATGTACATACTTATTGTCTTGCCGACTTGCCCACCATATATTAGGACTCTTCTGTCTGTACGAAGCAGAAGATAGTTTAATATAAAATTTGACGTTACTTTCTTAATCGATATAATTACTACACAGAACGGATAAATTGACGTAAAGATACAGTACGGAAGTCATCCGTTAGGAATTAAGCATGTTAATTTATTACAGGATATTTCTTTAACTATAATATCTGTAATATATTCAGCTGATTTATTCATCACGATACATATTAACTTGTTTAATTTATTGATTTCCTTTATAAAATGTCAAACAGATTTTTTTTTAATAGATTCAATTTATAATAACATCATCATATATATTTTTTTCAAATACACATTTATAATGGATCTAACGTTGCGAATCGCTGCGAACCGTTTTATGGTTTTTATTCTTGCATCCCTCAAATGGCGTATCCCATTTTCTGCGATACCTTCAAGCTGAAAACAGTGTTTTGAGGGATGCCGTTTTGTTCCGTCCTAATAATTATAAAATCTTTGCACAACCGCCCGGTGCGGTAGTAAATTCGATACTTACTACACGGCGTTATACCGACCGAATCAGGTTACAGCTGGCTTACAAGCTTGTCGTATTTATGTGGAATCGCTGCTGAGCATGTGTAGTGATCTAACCTTTGATACACTTGGTCATATTTGCGTAGTGAATTTATATTTTAGTATCGATTAGTTCCTGACTCAGCGGTGCTAATCTTTAGTCCGGCAATTGGGGCCGTGGGTTAGGTTGAGGGTCGAACAAATTCTTGTCCCACATAGGCTAAGAATGTAACGTGTGATTTCATCACTTTGTCTAAATTGTCGTTTTTCTAAAGACTAGGCTGCATGTCATATGAACCTTTACCTGTTCGAAAGGACGAATGTAAAAGTTAACTTCATTTGGTCGTACTTGTCATTTGAGATTGCCGCCGGATCGAATTGACATAGGATAAATTAGTTTTTGTGGATCCATTATCTTCGACTGGTAAGTAGTTGTTTGGTTTTGTTCATGCCAGTGGTTGTTTTGTTTACGTATTTCGTTTTCTTATCAATTCGCTTTTTTTACAGTGCATAGCTAGAGGTTGAAATCAGAACTCGTTCCTGGTCGTATTATTTGTGATTGCTGTCTGGGAAACTCTGTGCTGGATTTGTTGTCCCTCGTGGTAAGATCCTTTGTTATTTTCACTGGTTTCCTACTAAAATTGTAAAAGACTTGCATTGAGAATGTATTTCGAAATTCACATGAAGGTAGGTTGAGAATTTATTGTCTCGTGTTTCTAAGTATGGTTTTTCGAATATCACAGGTGGATGCTGAAGTCATAGGTGGCTGGCAAGCTGGTCTGAGCTGCTGCTCTATTAAATATTGTTTTTTACCTCCAGTTGGTAAGTGTTTCACATCTTATAAGTGTAGGTGGATTCAAATCCCTGCCTTTGTTAGTTCTACAATTTAGTGTTTGTTGGCAGGAGGTCTCCTATATACCCCCAACAGTGTGTCTGTACACACTACACTTGGCCTGACTTTATCTACTGGTTCTGAGCTCAACGCTGACCTGTGCACACAGGGCAGATGTCTCTGCGGTGACATAGATTTAAAATAACTACCTGATTGGACTTTATTTTTAAATTGAATTGCATAAGTTTTACCATCTCAAATTAATTTAATTATTTAACCTTTTATGGTCGCACAAAGTAATGTGTAGGTCCTATGTACTCACGACTCCCTGAGATACTTAATTGTGATTATTACAACAGTCTGTTCCTAACAGACAAGGCGCCCAACTTATTATTATTATTATATTACAAAATATATTGTATCTGAGCTAGTCCAGGGATTGTAACTTTAAATTGAAGGGATAAATACAAATTCTTAACCGCTAATAAATCTTTTATTAAATCTTCCCATCATTATCTAGACACCCATAATAAAAACGTCGTTTGTAATTTGTTTCACACTCAGACGGATCTGGTTAGTTGTTCTCAAGGAGGCTTGACGTCAGACAATACGATTCACGTATTGTGCCGATCCCATCTAAATGTGATAATGGCAAAAGAATTATGAATTATTAGTGACGTCGTTTGGTAGGACTCGGCGCCATCTATCGGAAAAGGCACAACAACGACTGCCCATGCAGCCGTCTTACATGCATTATTATAACACTAGCGACGCGCCCCGACTTTGCGCGGGTACAATGTACTGTACCCTCCTCTTGAATAACACTATCTTGTAAAAAACCGCATCAAGATCAGTTGCGTAGTTTTAAAGATCTAAACATACATAGGGACAGACAGACAGCGGGACGACTTTGGTTTTATACTATGGAGTGATAAAAACAATGTCTTCAGTTTCTTAGTGTAAATATATATTTCCAAACAGTGTCTAAGATAGTGTGTAGTTTTAGAATACTGAAAGTTGTAAAATTGTATAAAAATCTTAAACTATTGTTGAAAATGTATTTACATGTAAGTATGGAAGTTTCTTTACTCATAACATCTCTTAACCATAATATTATATAAGCTGTTTCGTTCGATCAAAGTTTAAGGTTGGTCTTCAACCGGTTGTCGACATAGCCATAAAGATCGTATTTAAATGTCTAATCTACTGTGCTCAAATATTTAAATACTATCTAAGTACTGACTTAGTCGGAGGTTAGCTCCTACTTGCTTTTCAATAGGTCACCTGCTATTACATAAGGATTTCTATACAGGGTGGCTTTTCTAAGTGTATCCATTTTTTTTATTAAATTCAAGACATAATGTTATATAAAAAATGATAAATATTTAAAATCACTCGTAAGTAATTAATTACATTAATTTGAACTTATCTCAAAAAGTGCGTGATTTATACGCAACTCATTATTTTGCACGCAATCATTCATAACTAACACGCACACAAGTTCGTGCACAGTAAAATTTAGGTATTTATGAATGACTACCGCATTGTCAACACGTTCTTTTTTTAGGGAATAGAATGGCATATTTTTTGGAAAAAAAAATAGATTTTTATTTCAATAAATATAATCGTTTATTTATATTTATTACCGAGTCTGACCCTCCTGTGTAAATTTGGACACTTCTCAAAAAATCTCCATGTATAATTTTCTGTTTTGTCGTTTTTAATCTGTGGGTGTCTGGGTGATACAGTTTCCCATGCTAGTGCCTCATTGTAATCCTTATAGGAGTACGTAATACGTGTTATTGCCTGCAAGGTTTAGCAATAACATTCAATTGTTGTTCATTTTAAACAATATCTTTCATATTTAAAAGCTAGTTCTTAATATTTTTTACATAATATGTAACGTGTTATAATGGTAACTATACCTAACTATACCGTATACCTATAACCTATACCTTCTTATCAGCGGCTATTCCGTGAACGACAAATGGTTCAAAAAGAATGAGAAATATGATGTCTTATTAATTTCTTTCGCTGGTTTATTTGTGTTAAAAGTTTCGCGACTAGACGTGTTAGGAAAAACGTGAATTTTGATTATTCATAAATTATTCATAATTATAATCGTTATCCTCGTTGGTACGAATTTTGTTCTCCATACACTTTCTTTCATAGTTTACTTTAAAGTCGTAAAAGTACACTTTATAATGGTGGGCCAACACTAAAGCGCCTCTAATGTACGTTTATAATGTTGCCACTTCTGCGACTCGTGGGTGGCGGTTGGGTCGTTGGAGAATGTAGGTGTCCGCAAATATTGGCAGTTGCCTAATTCCGTATCAGTAGACGTGTTTAACATATTGCCCAACCGGCGTACTTAGTCCCGTCCCCGTTGTGGGATGATTACCCACGTTGAAATCAAGAGCGCAGCTTCGTTACGCGCATTCGTTACACCAGTGATTGTGACAGTACATATCTCTGCACACAAGGTTATAAACTTATTTTGTTGAACTTTGTTCATACATAATGATCTTCATCAATTCATAATATGAGGTTGTGCTTAAAGTGCATTCAGTCGTGGTCGTACTATTTCAGACTGAATATGCCGCGGGAGACCTACTGTAATCTTATCCTTTAAACGAGCAATTCTTGTATATATATATATATATATATATATATATATATTCGGAATCTCGGAAACGACTCCAGCGATTTTCATGAAATTTAATATGTGCGTAGATTCGGGGTCGAAAAATCGATCTAGCTAGGTTTCATTTTTAGAAAATGTTCTTTTATCCATGTTTTCAGGGAATAAAAATTACATTCGAATATGACAGTAAATTTTGCCCCAAAAAAAATGTTATAATAGCTCTGTCGGTAATGGGGCGGCCCCTAAACAGACGGCCGCGGTTCGTATCACTATCATTTGCACACTCACATCATTTTCTTTATTTTTTTTTATTTCCAAAATACATGATTTACAAAAAAAACGGTCTTCCAGGTTCTGATACTTAAAAGATAAGTGTGGGGAACAAAGCTTTGGAAAATGACCATTCCTAGTTCCAACCAAACATTATTTCATTCTAGTAATTCAGACATCACTAATCGATGGAGAATGGTCCATTCGTTTCTAAATGGAATTCTGTCTCCAAGATTCGGGTGACGACCGCGTGTCGCTGAAACGCATTGACATGGACAGGTCGTCATATGACTCTTCAACAAATCATTCGGGCAGTCCAGCTCAGCTCGGTGTCACCGCTGCCACCGCAAATAGAAGGCGCGCCGCGAGAGCGCCGCGAACTGCAAGGTCGGCCGCACGCGTCTACCAATGGATCCTCCCCCCCTCTTCTCTAACCCCCCCCCCCCTCCCCCCCACTCCGCCGCACATTGATCAATGGGCAGCACGTGGCGATCGATACTATGTAAATTGGATAGCGCACGCGGCCGCCATCGAGACGTTATATGCTGTTCTGTTGTGTAATAACAAACAAACGCATTCGGCCGGGTTATCTTCTGTCACGCTGACATGTGTTAATTGACGGCGCGGACCGAATAGTTGTCATGCGATTCGTACTTAGGAATTTATCTGATAGCTGAATACTATATTACATTTTGATTATACTGCTTGGGATACTACAACTCACTGTACCTAATGATGTACCTAATAAAACTCAATGTACCTAGCAGAAAAAGACTCGGCTTATTAATCTGTGTGCCTGATAGTAGTTCCGATAATTTAACAATATATTGCTTCCCCGCATTGTTTCGATCGTATTTTCGATCTAAATGCGGATCTTTTCTAATGATTGCTCGCCATATGCCTCGGTTGTATAGTGGGAACTAGGATGACCAAAAGTAGGACATGCTTCACGAATCACCTTCTGCATCTAACAAGTAGGCGATTCTTCCGGTGCGTTGACTTGAGTATCGTATACGTACGCAGCCTTAATTGTATGTTCTAGTAATATACTCAAGCAATATTTTTAAAAGTAGGTGGCATTAATCCGTTTATAGATTAATTTAAAACTTGAAGTTTCAATTTAAACCACAAAAATTTTTTAATTTATAAATACATCGATCTTATACTAAAATTCCGTGACCAAAGCGTTATTTAAGGTAAATTCTCTTATATCTAATGATTCCATAATTGCATCTACAATATGTGAGGTCTTATATGTTCAAAATTGGAAAACAAGCGGCTGTATTACCTGACCTGACGTTAAGTGATTACCGCCGCTAATGGATATCCACAACACCTGACGCAGACGCGTTGCCAACATGAGAGGTATACCTGTATATTATAACATTACGGCCCTTTTTTGGTAGTAAGGTGCCAAAAGAGCAAGCGGTTCACCCGATGTTATGTGACCATCGCCGCCTACACACATACGCAACTCCAGCGGGATTACAGTTGCTTTGCTAACCTTTTGGAGGGAAGGCCCTAATTACTTCACTCACGAGTTAAGAGACAAAAATGTGTTAATTTTCCAGATAAACCCATCGATTCATGCAACAGTTTGTCTTTACCATATTAAAACGTTTTTTAGTACGGTGCAACCTAAGAGATAACTTTAAATTAAAGCAACCAGTGTAAGTAGACATTCGATCGGCACGTTTGATTCATTGATGCCTTGGTACTTAGCGTAACGGACGGAGACGTCATCGAACGCGATTACATTGTTTAATCGAAAACGATTGCGTCGGCGATGCGTGCGTCGGATATTATTTGACACGCACAACGCTTTAGTTGCGGGAGGGGGCGCTGAGGGGCAAACGGCCGATCTGTCAAAGCGCTGACAACGGCGCCGGGCGACTGTTTATCGCTGCGGCCGGCCGGGCCACTGATAATTGACAGTTAAACGGCCAATTACAGACGGTGCTATTGGGCGGTCACGGTTCATGTGGCCGTTACGTGTCCGAACTCAAAAGCTTGAATAAGCGGACTCCACAAGTTCCGGCCGATACCTGGGCGCGTACTGTTGAGTGTAAAATCGAGAAGCACCTAACGATATGTCCGATTTTACGTTGTGCGCACATGTAGGGTACATGTGCCATTATAACATTCTAGTTAATTTGAAAGATTAGGATATTTAACTAAATATGCCATGTGTAATTTTTGGTATCATTAGTTAAAAGTTTTTTAAAAGTTTTTGTATTTTCAATTACATTTAAGTCGTGTGCAAAACGTGTATTGTATTTATTTATGTATTTTATTCTTTGTATTAACAAGTCATCTACAAAAAAACTACAGTTTTACGAATCAATCTTTAAGGAACTATCACCGTTTGTTTTAGCGGCGAAGTTTATAGTCTTCTGTAGTTTTTAAAATTTATCCGTACAACAGTTGGTGGGATGTAACAAATTATAAAATACATAAGTTCCATACGAATTGTAGTCGTAACGTTTTATCACATTGTGATAATAACACATTGACGCACTGGTTGGCAAGGCAACTGACATGACAAACGTCAAATGTGTCGGCGTATCAGTCTATACTTCTATATTACATTAAATCTTCATTTCGATTCTACTGTTTCTGTTGTATTTACGGGCGATGGTAATCACTTAACGTAAATACTTTCAGAATAAAAACAGAAGTCTCTTTCTTAATAATATGAGTATTGTTAAAAGAAAATAAAAGTTTTAAATTGGATAAAGCTTTTGTTGCCTAAGGGCTGGAAGCAAAAAAGTCAGTCACATTAGACAACTGACAGAATCGATACTCAACCAGTTTGATCAATGAAACCCTCGGAGGGAATAGCAAGAAGGCCAATTCAAAGGCTGGACTTGGTTAAAAATAAAGCATTAAGCAATTCCCTCCGCGGTCCGAGATATCGGCGCGCCTTATTGGCGGTTGTCCGTAGACGGCTATAGCGGGCGGCGGCTGGGCTGCCTCTACATGGAAAGCGGCTCCGGCCAGGCTCGTTACGTCCATAATTAGCCCTTGTGATGAACTGCGGAATGGCCGACGCTTTTTTTTATGTGGGAAGGTGTCAAGCCAGCTGGCGGTTCACCTGGTCTTAAGATAACCGCCGCCCGTGGGCATTTGAAACACCCTTAGGGTCGCAGATGTGTTGCCACCGTTTAATAAAGTGGGCACCGGCTACCTTACTCAGCAGACGAAACTCAGAAGTATGACGCTTCTACTTCACGCCGGTCTTCTGTGAGGTCTTGCTACTTACCTGCCCATTCGTGCAACAGCCGAAGATGTTGGTTGCCCTACCACAGTTAAACACATTTACACACAGGTAAGGCCGTCGATGCTTAAGGCGACGATGAATCACCGCTGGGGGCCTTGTTAACCGTCTAAATAGAAGCGTTATCTTATTTATGGTCTATTATGCGTGCTCCACTTATGCGCCGTTTAGGTGTTTTTGTTATTATTATGCGGTGTTTGTTTGCTTATTCATTTATTTAAACAGGCTTACCAACTAAATACATAAATAAATTGTTAATATATTCTAGTGTGATGCACTTTAAGATTATCGCCCGGTTTCTGAAAGACTTTCCATCGTAGAAATTAACTAATCAGCTGTCAAAGAGCCTCTCTAATGTCATTTGAATTGCCAAAAGGATGGTTAAACTCTTTGAATTGATCATTCTGATCGTTCTGATCAACTTTTGATGTTTGAGGTGTACGTTTTGCATATTAATAAAATCTGATACTGGGCTCTATATTCTACTTTTAACAACGTGTTTACTTTAAAATTATTAAAAAAAAAATCCTGAATTTTCACCTTTACCCTAATGAAGTACTGCTTGTTTTGTTTAGTTTAGGACCCTAAGCTGCTACGGGTTTTAAAAAAATTACCACCTGCTGATTTTCGGACAGTTTTAATAATCTATGTACAGATAAATTTGGTTGCTGGAGAAAGAATAGTGACGTAAGTATTTTGAAGCTAAATGTTCAAAAACCTATCGCATGTAAAATTATTAAACACCATTGGTCGTCCATATAACAATATTGTTTTATTTAATTTATGTATTTATAAATCATATTTTACAAAAATTTTAGATATCTGCCGTTTTTCATCTAAAGTTTAACTACGCCAAATCTCATATTCTCTCGTACACGTAATATTGTTATAATTTACCGAAAGACATATTGGGAAAAATATCGAATTACATGTGTAGATCGACGGTTCGTTTTTATCAATTGATTGCGGGAATTTTTATATTGTATATTTCTTAAAATATTACGTATTAAATATTACTTTTTCTGTGCAAAGCGTGCTTTCTTGGTGCGGTCTTAGACGCTCCGTCGCGCGCGCACGCGTCCCATAACGGCGGGCCTGCGATGAGTCACGGCGGATTTAAATTTACGATCCGTGGAAAAATCGTCAAGGATACGCGGCCCGCTGAGCGATTTCCGAGGAAATTCGTCATCGTTCCGTGGAAGGGTCGAGCCTCCCTACCCGCTCCATTCGTTCAAGTTTTCCGGTGCTGTTTAATAAAGCGGCAATTACACGAACGCTTGACTTGTCTCCTTGAACGACGGTTATATGTAGATATTGCATAGATGATTACGTATTAAATGTAATGAATAAAGTTGTCTTAATTTGGAGGGTAAATAATTTAAAATCTGAATTTTGTCATTATTTTAGTTTATAGATATAGGTAATGAAGTACGGCGCAGTTAGGTAACGAGTTTAAAGAGATGTAAATGGATTATCAATGCGGCTGTTTATGTATGGACGTAGTGCAGCTGTCATAATTGTATATTTTTAATTTATTGCACCATTGTCGAAAAGGCTTCAGTGTAAATGAGGATTAGGAATAGTATACGTTTGATTATCATTAATGTATAGCACAACACACGCACCATCCGTTGAGATGACAGCCAAGCACTGATTTTTGAGTAAACATTATAAATAATTAATGTACGACTGTATGGCCGTATAATGTATAGTACCTGGAGGACCGAGCTTTGCTCGGTTTTTTTTGGTAAATCATGTATATTGGAAATAAAAAAAAATAAAGAAAATGATCTGGTATAGAAAAAAAAGTTAAAAAAAAAAATAAGTGTGTAAATGATCACGATACGAACCGCGGCCGTCTGTTTTGGGGCCGCCCGATTACCGACCGAGCTATTATAACATTTTTTTTGCGGCGAAATTTACCGTCATATTCGAATGCTATTTTTCATTCCCTGGAAACAGGGATAAAGGAAGAATAGTAGAAAGGATAAGATACATACTGAAAATGAAATCACAGAAATATAGTTGAAACGTTTAATATTTCACTTTATTATAAATTGACCCCTCGTATCCACCATGACCTCGCATTAACAATGAAATTGCTCAGCTATTATTTTTACCGAAAGCCTATAAGTTCTTAGTCTCTTTGTCTTCAAAATTATCATCGCTTTCGCTTTATTGAACGACGGAAATCGACTTCAAAAATGCTGGTATGTGATGATACGTTTTCTCATCTATATGACACGATTATTTCATTCTAAATTGGGTACAAACTTACGGGGGCAGAACAGTTTCGCATCTTTTTACTAATTCTATTTAGAACAGTTTCGCATCTTTTTACTAATTCTATTTTTTATTAACGAAAAATAAAACCGTCTTCAAATATCTCGCTTTGTAATAATTTTATTATTCATTTACACGAGTTCCCTAAGTTACTCCGGAGCCCAATGAAACTAATATGGGACCACGTGGGAACACCAGCTTTCAAATAATAAATCGGTTAGCTCAATCGAAAGTCCTGAGGTGACAAACATAAAAGAAAATACAGTCGAATCGGGAAACTCCTCCTTTTTCGAAGTCGGTGGAAAAAGGAATGGGATTGCCCCTAACACGTTATCGCAGTAGGTGTAAATGGACATTGTCGCCAGAGCGACGTTCCAATATCCGGTGCGATTTGTGCAGCGGCCGGAGGAATTTTAAGTGCACCTCACTCGTAAAATTAACCGGTCCTTAATGGGCCACAAATGAATGGGGTGGAATTTAAATAAAAACGTTCACGTCCGACCGATGATTAGTGATGGTATTGACGGAGGACGCCCTTTTCGACGAGGTCCGTTTGGATGTTTTTCGCCTTTTACCAGACAACGATGTATTTGAATTCCGTCAGCTGGTGTTCGCAATGATTAAGGAATATATTTTACCTATAAACACTAAGTTAATTTTATTAATATCTTATTTTTTTCAGTTGAAACCGACCTAAAATGTTCGTTTAAAATTAAATTGTGGATGTTTGCCGCCTAATTTTCTTAATTGACTTTCTTTGTTCTAAAATACATTTTTAAATACAGCCAGCAAATGCCCAGCACACTTAGTACCTGGTTTTATTAATTTTTACCCGACTCCGAAATCATCGCCGTAATCAAAGCTTAATTTTTATGTTTATTGTTGGGAAGTACACACGATTGTCAATTAACCTCAGCTCTTGTAAATTCTATGCACGTATTGTGTGAAAGCGGCGCATGGCGTAAAGTCCCACGTCATCGCACCCTAACAACGTCTTGAAACCGTCACGTCGTCACTCGACTAATGGAGGTCTGTCATCGAGTCGACCCCTTTAAACTCCCGCTTCCTCGCGTCCATGTGTTATTCTGAGACGGATACAGCTCACTTTTGTGGATGAAATTACCGTCTTGATGTCTCTTTCCGCGACAGATGGGTCGTCCTAAGAAGTGTCCTCTCAACCGAGTCTACGGCGAGCGGCGGTGGATCTGTTCGTGTAACGATATCATTAGGGCTTGACTAATGGCCAGCCCACGCTTGATGTAAAAACACAATGAGTTTTTGCCATTCACAAAAGGACTAATCTGCCATATATACCATTCGTAACAGCATAACTATAACACGTTTGGGTTCCGCAATATTCAATTATAAATGTAAAGGCAAATAAAACCTTTTGTTTTCGTATGTGTATTCTTTTAATAATTTTTGTACCTGACCCCACCAAACCCTAGGTCCGCTTGTTAGCAGGCGGCGTGGGCGTCTGTCATGGCTACATGAGGCAGACAGTTCCTCAGAATCTGCGCATGTAGCGCGGTCGTTAAAGTTCATATACGCGAAAGGTGCAATAAAACCTTCGCCTTCGAACGTCCCTCATATTGGCGAATTCTCCTAAGTCCTTGACACATTCCTACGGCTTAAGCATTTGACGCGAGGTCGGGAATAATTTTCATTTTAATATCGATGCTGTAAGCTTCATGTTATTTCTTTATTTTTGGTTATTAAATATTTGGCTGTATGCATAACTCTTTTCTGGCTTTTGAAGGCATAAATAATCCAAAAGAAATTTATTATGTACAATCATATTATTTTGGTTCATTGATCTTTTACATTGATCGATTCGATCTTGGCATTATTTGCGATTGTTATATTTCTAAATGAAATTTGAATATCTCTTTAAAGCTCTCTGCAAATAAAACATATTACAAATATAAAAAAAAAAACGTTTATACAATCATATAGTATAAGTTATGTGGTTGGAAAGCGCTTTTCATTATCATGTATATTGGCATCGACATCTCTTATTCTTTGGCCACTCTAATGATGTTTTCCATAACGCGATCGCAATTTGTAATACATTATGTATAGACCATATGTTGACGGCTCGATTAGACACTGTCGATTGCGTTTAACGAACAATCCATTACTCCTGGTTGATATGTTACTTCGATACTAAGTTTCGGCTGCAGCGGCGCGTGCTGGAGGAAGTCTTTGATTCTGAAGCTAATTTTATTCTTTCTGATTATGTTCGTTTGACAATCTCGATTTTCTTGTTTACTTACTTACTACCTACTACCGTACAAAATCTTTGAATCTATGTAAATAAAATGAAAGAGGTCTGCCTCTGTGCGCGTCTCATGGAAAAGCTAATGATACATTTCAATGAATTTTTCTTATTTTAATTTCTTAGACAAGACTTATTACAACATTTTTTGTAACATGTCTTTTTATCGAAAAAAAATCTTGTAATCTCTATTTAATGTAAAGTTATAACAGTTTTATGGGAAACGATTTTTATCCTACGTGTTCAGCGGATTGTGTTTTCTTGCGGTAGAGAAATGGGGCAAGCGGTGTAGTGGTTTATATTATAAACAACACAGACGAAGTCGCGGGCATCAGTTAGTCTTGAATATGTTCACGAGCTAAGAAACAAAAGACGCGAGAATGGGGTGCGGCGTCGGGGGCGTCGCTTCTTCGGCCCTACGATCACTCGGAGTCCACTTAAAAAGACATGACAGCGGCGATAAAGCTCTCATCTCCGTGGCGTGGGCGCGGTCGGCTAGGGGTCGCGAGATGACAACGCCTCGGTTTAACTGCCGGCTTCCGCCAAATGAACGCTCGGTTACGTGACGCACTGAGCTAGTTAATTGCGACGCCCAAGCGAATACATCGCTTACCACCCTGAAACAGAGCCGCTTTTTTCGCTGTGCGTTCCGCAGGGTTTAGTCATTTCCGAACGCAGGTGCGCAATTATAAATGTTCGTGGTGTAAATTAGCAGCGATACCATTCGGATGTGACTGCTTGCAGTGCGCGATGTTTCATCGTGATGTACCTGCCCCATTTGTATTGGTAATGGTGTGGATGTAGCAGATTGGTGCACACTTGTCGCCGCTATCGTAAATCACAGCGGCGACACTAAACGTCGGCGGCGACATTAATGTCTGTTCATCGCATCTCTTTTGGAGGAAGCGCATGATTATGGTTATAAAAGGCCACTCGCGCGGTGTGAATGTAATGTCACAAAAATCAAAAACACAACCGAAGTACATAATACTTAACACAATGTTGAAATGTTGATATATGTCAACATTATCTATCTATATACATAAAAATTAATTGCTGTTCGTTAGTCTTGCTAAAACTATATTCTATATACTATATTCCCATTCAAACTGTTCCTATCTGTCAAGCATTTTATGGGTGCGTTCCATAAATTCTCTTTGTATGTGTTCAGATTGACAAATTCCCTAGAAATAATTGATATAGCAAAACAACGTTTGCAGAGTCAGCTAGTATTACATATAAATAGTATAGTTTGCAAAAGTAGTTTTATACGGTTATTTTCTTATCCATTATTTTTCGTTATAACATTTCCTACCTTTATATAAATAATGATATAAGCCCCAGAAAGCTGATACATAAATTCATAATCCCCGCTTCGGGGAAGCTCGCCGGCTCACAGATGTTTCCTCCGGATTTCGTACAACGCTCAGTTTCTTTTTAACAAGGAACGACGCACGAATGGAAAGACTTTGGGCATTCTTCTGGAAGAAACGGAAACTCGACACTCGAACGGAAATCGTTCTCTCCTCGAGTTAGTATTTATATTTGGATTTTGCAATTTCCGATCGGAAAACGATACTAAGTGATGAAATTTTTTTACGTTATTTATAATAAATCAAACGCTCTTTTACACGTTTGTTAGCCGAAGATTTCTCTAAATTACTAAAATAATCCATTACACGGTGTAGAAAAAATTAACTATTGCGATAATTTTAGTTGTCTGACAATAATAAATAATTGAGCAACATCTGCCATCAGAGTTCAAAGTCTTTAGAATTATATGTATGTATTCAAGTACTCATAATATGATCCATAATCAAAATTCTAAACTCAGATATTTTGACAGACCGCTCCATGTCCATAATAAATCATCAATTCATGCGCTGCCCATATCAACAGGGTCGATTGGAATTCGAACCCTCTTCCAACTTGAGAGCCCGCCACAATGGTTCGGCGAAACCGAAAGTCGTGGACAACCAAAACGCCATGTGGCTTTCACTATTAACCTGAACAATTCACAACGTATACCGCAACGGCTAACGGAAGGACCCAAGTGGATCTCGCGTACCCGGGCCGGAAGTGCGCGGAAATGACGTCACCGGAAGCAGACGCCCTCTGTGTCACCGCCTGACGTCACCTTCGTCATCGGCGCGCTAATCAGCGCGGGATAATTGTCGATAGCGTTCGAATACGGTTCGAATACGCGGGTCAGTTGTGAGTCATCGTGGTAATGTGCAAACGTGAACTGTTCGGTTTTCGTTTTAAAATTATATAGTAGTTTTCAATCTCGAAGGCCGATTAGGATAGCTTTCGAGTAAACTATCACACGTTCTCGAAGGTTTGATATTTCTAAGAATATGAAAATGAACCAACTTCCTTTTCCTTAGTTGAAATAGGTTGGCCGGTGATTATGACTTTTCGTTTTCGAAAATAGAAAAGGGAACGAAATATACCGCGGGTTGTGTATTGCGTAGGATGTTTAAACTTTCACATCAATAACCCGTTATAGTTAACGCCAAAAACTTTAAATCTTTCATACAAGATACATGTATCTTAGGAACCTGATCCATGTTCCCATAAAAAAACAGCTTTCGCATATCGCCAAGGATAAAAATTCTCTGACGCATTGGGCCATTGAAATCCTAATATCACATTTCCCGCTCACACTCTCGTTTCAAATTACAAAGCGCCACTCTGTTTGATCCAATCAACGCGAATTATTGCGTTACAGAAATTAAAGTAATTTCTGTAACGCAACAATTCGCGAAATGCGCCATTAAATGTAAAACAAGACGCTCGGGCTGACATCATGCCGGCGGAAACGGCGGTCATTAAACAATATCCCAATAGCATTCGTAAAATACAGTGGACTGTCCCAACTCGAACAAAAAGTTGAGAAATGGGGACACGAAAACAAAAGAGCGTTAACGGCGCCAATCGATCACCGCGCTCCCAGCGCTTGTAATTGTTTCCGAACGGAAATGGATCCGAGATAATTCCGCGATACTCTCCCCCCTGCCCGCCCCCGCGTCCTAACATATCCGTCGTAAATATCTCGTGGCTTCGATTAGATCGTGTCCACGGCGTGGCAGTTTGACGTCACGACGTTCCCCGAACACTCGATCAGTCGAGTTGATGTCTTGCGCTTGTGCATCGATCCAATCGAAATATGGCGATGGCGGGTCCGCCGGCTTACGGACGAATTAATTCGGCCGCGCGCGATTTCAAGCGCGCGCCCGCAATCAACCGGGCGATTCGGTGGCACCGGCCGTTTCGCGAAACGTGCGGGCGGCTCCCGCATCCGGCCCAGTCCGCGGCGCAATTTGCGATGCGGCTTTTTATTAAATTTTTTGTGTTTGCCCTTTTTTGTACATTGCCCCAGCCGTAGGAATACTGCCCCGTGCTGTAGAGGCGGATTTGATGACTCCGTGGTGCAGTTGCCAAGGTATTGGCTTCGACGTCGGGGGTTGCGGGTTCGATTCCCACACGGGACAACTATTTGTGTCACACACAGATAGTTGTTTCGTCGCACCCAGATGGCGTTTGTCCACGTGAATTTTATGTTTGAAAAACGTCCTTACAACACAAGATAACGCTTTAATCCTAAAGTAAGGGCAATGTTTTTAAAAACACAATAAAGAAGAGATAGAGTTGTTTATCTGTACTGGGTGGAAAATATACTACACGTGGTGCTAACTTCGATATTATTGCAATCGCCCTGACCTAGTGCTGAAGTCTCTTGCGTTTCGCGAAACACATATGGGAAGAATTCCAATCGACCCTGGGGTGGTGGCGGGCTATACCTTAATAGCATCTGCACAAAGGTAGCCATTGTCATTTTACACAAACACGGGTACATGAGGGAAATTTTCGCAGCAGAGACATTTATATAAAGGTTACTTTTACTTTTGCGCCGCACAGACGCAGACGGCCTACTCGTCGATTTTTGTAAGACAAAAAATGGAAGGGTTTTCGCCCCGCTGTTCGCTCACCACGCGGGCTTGTCTTGCTGTTGTTTTTTTTCGCTTACGAGCCTCTTGCACCTGCCGCGCGCTTCGTTTTTTTCATCGCTCCGTCGGCCTTTAATGAGATTTTCTCCCTCCCGCAGTTAATTTTTCGCCGTCGTTTATGCCAGTGTACCCTCTCGTTGTTTATACGCCTTGTTCATGACATGAGCAATGTTCGATTCGTTTATGTTTCTTTTGTATTGGGCACTAAGGCAAATCCGGTTAATGTGTGCGTGTTCTAAATTCGTTCCTATTGATCATTTTTTTATTTATGTCTTAACCCATTCATACCCTCAAGCTGCAGTTCATAAACGGGTAGAGCGATAAGGTATTCTGTGTATTCACGATAAAAAGGAGGACTGTTGTTCATAGTCCCTCAGTCCCTTTTAACTAGTTCCAGAACTTTTCGTTTCACATATCATCACCGAGCTAATTGCATGTAGACGTGTCCTAATAACGTTTCGTCTGTTTGTTTTAGAATCGGTGGGTGTCGCTGGCGTCGTCGGGCGCGTGCCGGCGACCGGATGCGCCACCGGCGACATAATGTGGCTGCTTGACGAGCCCAATCAGCCTTACGAAGGTAATTTCACCATCTAGTTCTATAAATACTCTATGGGGTGTTACAATGGCTCTACATTTTTTTATGTGACAAGGTAGCAAGCAAGCTGTACGTTTCACCCGATGTTAAGTTATAACTGCCGCCTATGGACATTTGCAACACCCGCAGGGTTGCAGATGACTTGTCATCGTTTAGTAAAGTGGGTCCCGGTTACCTCTCTCACCAGACGAAAGCCAGAAGTGTAACACTTCCAATTCACACCGGTCTTCTACGAGGTCGTAGTACTTTCCCGAACGGACCTTCAGTTTGTTAGAAAGGGCATTGCAATGAAGTGTTTGCTCTTAAGGAAACACTTTAGATGATTGTTAAAAATGCAAAGAAGAAAAGCAGATAGGACGTTGAGATTTTCGCGTGGTATATCTACCGCTAAGTGGCTATAGCATTTCGATGCTTACTTACGCCTCGAGATTGTAAGCGGTGACGTTTTCAAAAAAAATTACAACCATGAAATACGTACTAACTTTTGCGCTGTTTCATTCCAGACTGCGAGCAGCTGCTCTGCTTCCGCTATTACAATGGCGAAGGCGAAGATTGCGTCGCGGAGTCCTCCACCCTCCCGCCCCGCTTCAAGGTCGACCTCAAGAAACTGCCACTGCGCCTCAAGGAGGGCATCTCGAGGAAACGCAGCGGCGACCAGGTGTCCCCGTACACCTACAACAATGAAAGCTTCGAAATGCACTCGGAGAACATGCCCCGCGTGGAGCTCGTGTCGGGCACAAACCAGGACATCAAGCACCTCAGTGATAACGTCAACAAATGCTCAATTAGCGCCTTAGCGAGTAGCGGGAACAAGTACGACGCGGCGAAATGTGATACTAGTAAACCTCTCGTTGGTGACGCATGCGATGAATCTCAATCGGTGAACAGCGAGTCTCGACGCGCCGTCGATTGTAAACCGACGTCGTCCGGCGTGAAGAAGAAGTACCCGCCGCCAGTCGACACCGGCGGCGGGATGTTGAACGGCGTTAAGAAGAAATCGAAGGCGGCCAGCGGCTTCGAATCGCCGACATCGCCGGACACGGAGTACTACAAGATCTGGTCCCCAAAGAACCCGTGTAAAATAATGAAATTCGTGTACGATGTGGAGGGGGCTAACGTGCCAAGCGACGCGGAGAAGTCCCCAGTGCCACCATTACCGCCGAGACAGTCGCACAAGCCGCTGGAGAGGATGCACGCGCTGTCCCCGCCCTTAGTGCCCAGGCACAGGAAGCCCAAGAAACTAACCAAGCCCGAGGACGCGTTCACGTTCGAACTGATCGACACAGACGAACAGTTCTTCACGGACAACAATATCAATCGTTCGTCCGTCCTGCAGGGCGGCATCAACGATTTCAAACCGGGCGAGTTCTTCTCTGGCAACCCGGCATCTGTCCCGGCGACGGCGGGCTTCTGGAAGGACGGACAGAACGTCGCTCCATTGGCCACCCCGGAGACGGACGGCAGCTTATGCGAATCGACTGTTTCCTCAATGAAATTACCTAGGTTAAAGGATGACAAGAGAATGAACAATGTACCTGACGGTTCGCCGAGCGTAAGTAGGAATAAAATTATGTTTATTAAGGATATAGGACCGGATAACTACATAACAACGACTTTCGCCCGGAAAGACAAGGCGAGTGCTGCCGCCGATGCCGTGGATGGATCGAATCCGACACCGAACTGCTCCAAGTCCGAGGAGAAAGCGCAAAACACTTTCATAAATGACATCAGCAATCATTCGGAATTCGAAGACGACAATCGGAACCAGATAGAAGAGAAAGAGATAACCCTCATGAAGGGCCACAAGCCGCTGACCCGGCAAGGCTCCGGCCGGGCGAACACGCCCACGATGATGACCGCCTTCCTCAACTCTTCACACATCGACGGCCCAAGCAGAGAGCTGGACAACAGCTCGAACGCAACCAGCTCCTGCAACTCGTCGCATTCCGCGTCGCCGGTCGACGAGACCAGCAAGCCGCTGCCGAGCGTCGGCACTATGATCATGAACAGAAAGTATTCGTGCGAGAGCCCGACGCCCAAGCACTCAAGTCTGCCGCGGCATCTGCTCAAGAATCTCGGCTGCGAAGGCACGCCGACCCATTCCCCCCACAAGACCGCCAATATCGCTAACATCCCCGACAGTCCGTTGAGACCGCATCCACGTGTGCTCTCTAGGGTGGCCGCACTAGCTGGCGCCGCCACCCCCCAATGCCCGCCGACACCGACGCACCACGCGAGGCGGCCCCGGCCCCTGCCGCCGCCGGACCTGCACCCGCCGCCCGTCCAGAACGCCGAGAACTTCGAGATGGTCGAGTTCACGAGCGAGCTGAGAACGTCCGAGATACGCTCGCCCAACCTCGAGTTCGTGAACAGCAACCACTTCACGATAGTGCACGCCGGCCCGCCCGAGGACGTGGTGCTGCGGCGGCCACAGACTGTGGACGACAGCGACGATAACGACAACGCACTGGCGTCGCCTACGCCCCTCAGGCATATGGCCGGCATCAGGCTGCCGTCGATACCGGAACGCGCGTCGAGGCAGATGGCGCTCACCGGCGATTTCCCCGCCAATATGATCGGCGGGATCATCGAGTGCGAGGAACCGCTGCCCGCAGGTAACACATGTTTATATAATTTTATATACACTGCCTCCCCGTATTTAACTACTGGCGATGAAGAATTTTCAAAAGTATGTTTTAGTGCTCTCCTTCGTTAATATATGGAATCTGTTTGTATCGTCGGTATACATGTACATATTTACCGCTTTTGCCATTTAATTTCAGTTTAGGATCTATTCTGCTGAGCTGTTAAACCATTGTTACTTCTCTTGTAAAAGTCATTGAGTTTCGATCCGATACATTATTATTACACAGTTTGTTTATTTTTTATGCAAAAGTAAATGTTTTTATTCTAGATTTACCAAAAACACGACTTATATTTTTCCAAATACGGCTTAACGATATGACATTGTGATTTTTCTTGAGAAATTGTTCGGATTTATCCCTGACATTTATTTTTGATGTAAAAAGTTACAGTTATGAATAGCTAGCTCATCTGGTGTTGAGTGATTAGCGCCATTCAAGAACATCATAACTGAAGCGTTACAGATACGTTACCAACCTTTGAAGAAGGGGTCCCGGTTACCTCAATCGTAATATATCTCACGCCGGTCTTATGTGAGCCCGATCGAGCTTGCTCATTCGTACGACAGCAAAAAGCTGCATGGCCCTATCACAGTTAAAAATTTTCAATGGTGTGGTTAACCGTTGTCCGTCTTGACGCTGCAGGCTGGGAGGCGCGCATGGACAGCCACGGGCGCGTGTTCTACATCGACCACATCAACCGGACGACCACGTGGTCGAGGCCGAGCGCCAACGGGGCCGTGCCCCGGTCGCCCGCGCCCGAGGTGCAAAGGCGACAGCTCGATAGGAGGTAAAGCCGACCTAAACCTACTCGTAAGAAAACCTGCACTAGCCTGATGTCCCCTAGTCGGCTTACGGGCGTAAGCCTCCTGGGCGTTTCTTTTTTAGGTGAGAAGGTGGCAAGGAACCGCCACCTTCGCGTGAAGTCATTTCAGTATTATAATAATAATAATAAAATATCTTTCCTAATGCGTTCCTATGAAACGTCGAAATTTTACAAAGAAATCAACGCGTTCGTAAGCTACCACGTTAAGTATTCACTTTAAGTTGTATTGACTTTAAGTGATAACCGCCGCCCATGGACACTTGCAGATGCGTTGCCAACCATCTCACTCAACAGACGAAACGCAGAAGCCAAACATCGAAGATTGTTACATGGCCTACCACGGCTAACTATGCAAATCAGGGAGAAGGAGTAGACTAGGTTGTTGGGAGTCAATTAGGTTCATGCGGAGCCTCCCGCGATTCGACCCATATAACTGCGAGGTTGGTAGGGCCATAGGAGGTGGTGGGTAGCCTGTACCCGTAGCTTTGTGCGTGTTGTTCAAGCACTTTAAGTATTTGTGAAGATTCGTGGCCAACTCTGATAAATTAATTAGTTCATTTTGTTTATCATCATTTCAGCCTGTTCTTATCCACCGCTGAACATTTGTCTTCACCACCTGCATCCAACAGCTTCTCGCACAGCTCATCACTTGTCCCCATCTAGTGGGGTTACTCCTGCACTGCGATGGCCAATACGGGGCTGCCACTCGAGAAACTTTCTTCTCCATTGATGTTGTGAGCTATATGACCGGCCCATTGCCACTTGAGCTTCTGATCTTCTGAGCTATGTCTATTCTCTTTCTCTGGTACTGCAGAATCTCCATTTGGAACCCTATCACGTAGAGATATACCGAGCATAGCCCGCTCCATAGCTCGCTGCATGATCTAAAACTTCATCATAAATCCAGGCCATCTGTGTAGTACCACGTCTCGATTCCGTGGGCCATCACTGTTTTGTTTATTAAACCTGATAAAACAAGTTGACTTTGACTTTACCTTGATCGCGACTTCCCCTTCAGGTACCAGTCGATCAGGCGCACTATGACGCGCACCCAGCTGGGGGACGAGGCGTGCGCCCCGGCGGGCCCCTCCCGCGCCGCCCCTCCCGCCGCCCCCTCGGCGCCCCCTGCCGCCCCCGCCGCTCACCCCGCCGCGCCCCACCCCGCCGCTGAGTTCCTCGCGAGGCCCGACTTCTACTCCATCTTGCATATGAACCAGGTATGACATCTTCTGTACTGTATGTATATACACTACACTCATTAAGCAGCAATGTGAAAGTACCACCGCTTCACATATCTACGTAGTAGGAGTATGATAGCCTAGTGTATTCAGCCTCTGAACAAACTTTCTTGTGAGCCAGTGACGTTTTTGATACTTGTGGTACAGCATTCCTAAAACGCCGCCGGTTTTTAAAACTTTACTGTGGCCTACTTCACTACTATAAATGCTCGCTATATAAGTCAATTGTAAATAATATGAAAGAAAATTAAATATCTAAATTTCAGTACAATTTATGATGTACTAGCGACCCGCCGTTCTATCTATTAAAAAAACCGCATCAATCTCCGTTGCGTATTTTTAAAGATCTAAATATACATAGGGACAGACAGACAGCGGGACGACTTTGTTTTATACTGTGTAGTGAAGAATTTATCAAGCCTGCCAAATTCACACTGTATTTAAGAGTATTCCTCGCAATCACCACATTGCAGGAGGCGTCGGCGCTGTACAACGGCAACTCGACCTTGAAGCACATGATCTCGAAGATCCGCCGCGACACCGCCTCCTTCGAGCGTTACCAGCACAACCGCGACCTGGTCGCCCTCGTCAACATGTTCAGCGAGCAGGACCGCGCCCTTCCCCTCGGCTGGGACACCAAGCTCGACCGCAACGGAAAGGTGTGTGGATCTGAACCGTATGTTAGTGGAATAAGGTTCACATTTCAACGAAGTTAATACACGTAAACACGCATATTGATACTTAAATACAAATGTGCAATTTGATGTAACACATGATTGTAGGTAATTATTGCATTAATTTGTTTAGAGTCAATAGTTTTTAAATCAAAACATTTCTCAGTTATATTTTCAATATCATGCGCCGGCCTTAAGTACGTATTCCACGTACTCAATTTGCCGATAACTGTAACGCTGTACAGCCATCGAGCATTTCTATTGCTCTTGTAATACGTGTGGACATCAATTTTAATGTCACGGCACAGTGTGAGAGCCGCTGTCTAGTGTAAAGCGTGTCGCACAGCGGACGTGTCACTATTTGAATTGAGTAGCGCCATCTAGTGTTAAGTGCGTCGCACAACGAACGCGTTAAGTGCGTCGCACAACGAACGCGTTAAGTGCGTCGCTCACCGGACGCGCTGCTGATTGAATGGGCAAGTGAGTAGCGCCATCTAGTGTTAAGCGCCGTTAAGCACGCGCCACGCCACGCGTTCGTAGTCTAGACCGGGACGTATACGCGTGTCCTGCCGCAGCGCTTCTTCGTGGACCACGTGCTGCGGCGCACCACCTTCATGGACCCGCGGCTGCCGCGCGCCGCGCGCGTCCCCGCCGGGCCCTTCTCGCCCCTGCTGCCCGCCCGCCGCCGCCCTATCCACGATCAGGCACGGCCCGCGACGACGCAACACTTCACACTGCTCACTGCACCAACATACCTCTTTATACCCTACACCACGACACAGACCGCCCGCCGCCGCCCCGCTCACAACACTGCAACATTCCACACACTGACGCTCGCTACACCAACATACCTCAATAGACTACCACACAGACTGCCCGCTAACTCCCCGCCTACGACCACGCACGGCCCACAACGATACGATAATTCACACTGGCGTACACTACACTAACATACCCCATTATACCCTACACTAACATAGTGACTACAATAGGACCTACTCGTAGTGGTCGTTGGGAGCGCTTCCCACGATCAGACACGGCCCTCAATACTGCAACACTCCACACTGGCGCTTATCACACTAATACAGTTCATTATTAATGTTTGTAACTCATCGGTCTAAAACGAATCTCGGCAATAACTTATCACTCAACCGTTTGTCAAAAACTTACAATAAATTGTCTGGTACTTATATGACCATAGACATTTTTAACGACAGTACCAAGTTCAACAGTTCAAGAGAAATCTGTCCACTTACAGTTTTTTATTTAATTAGAGTAAATTTCTTCTTTATCTCTACAGTTTTCTTTTTTTGTTATTTTGTTAAAAATTATGTTATTTTCGGTTTTGATTATATGTTTATTTTAGTGTAAAGTCAGTCAACTACTGTATTAATTCTTTGTTAGCATTTAGCATACTTCAATTATTATTATTTTATTATTCTTTTTTTAGCAGTTGTCAATATAATATAACTTTTGAATGTCCTTTCACCTGTAATTGAGATACCATTTAGTTGAAGATACTATGTAGGTACTTATTTATGTTTTAAGCTTGTTTTGATGTGTATCTTGTTGGTGAAGTAAATAAATAAATAAATAAATTATACCCCACACTACCACACAGACTACAATAGGCTATACTCCAAGGTCGCAGTGGTCGTTGGGAGCCCTGCCCATGATCAGGCACGGCCTGCAACGATACAAGAGGCCACACTGGCGCTCACTACGCTAACATGCTTCACAGTACCCCACACAACCACATAGACTACAATAGATCTACTAGGTCGCAGTGGTCGTTGGGAGCCCCGCCTACGATCAGGCACGGCCCACAACGATACAACATTCGCAAACAGTCCATTATACTCTACACCACTACACCCTAGCCCATTTTACGACACTATTTTAAATTACCCTCCCCTCCCCTTTACTAATTTACCCTCCATTTCGTTGTTATTAGCCTAAACTACCCAACTGAACAAACTAATCATTCTACCACCTTACACCATCCTTTAACTACATTTTTACCTTTCTCTTACCTTTTACCTTTTGTACCCTTCTCCATGCAGGCGCGCACTGCAACCTTTTACCCTAAACCAGGAGTGGTCAATTTAGTGTCATTGACAAGATAGGAATGCATTTTTTCCAGTTTTAAAATTTATGCTGATTTTAAATTATACAGACAAACCTACGTAACTAGAGCGCCCAATAATTGCTCAGTAGATAATATAACAAACGGTTTCTATGCTTAAACATACGAGCGAATACGGGTTCCACTTGTTGGCCACCCCTGCCACAAACTGGACACTGCTCTAGACTACACTGAACACATTTACTATTTAACAACTAAGCAGTATTGGTGTCTGTATGCTTTTATTACTTTTATCAATTTTATACCTATTGAATAATGTAGCATTAGATGTGCACTGATCAATTGGGTAAAACTTGTGTAGATTAATTTAAAAACATGCAGTAAATACAATTGTGTACGTTCAATATGTGTTATGTTAATTAGTCAAGCGCTTAGTTTTTTGTTGCGTTAATCGTATCTTTATTGTATACATATATTTTAAAAGTATTTTGACATAAATCTAGTCGCTGCTTTCATTTATAAAATATATGCGAGTGACGTGTACTATACACTCATTATTATCCAAATCATCAAAAGTAATTCCTCTTTATTTTAGCCTGAAATTTTCCGTTTTATTCTTTTATTCGTTAACTCTTTATTTGTAGTTGTAATAATCGGCGATTTATGTATGTGCCAAGCGATATTCTAATTTGCAACGGAATTTTTGTTTTTAATATTATGTTGGTAGTTTTCGAACAAATTTAGATTGGTGAAATTTGTCAATCTACATCTACAATCCATGTCTGTAGTTTAAATGTATAGTAATGAAGTGTTGGTTTTTGTCTTTGCTCGTAATACTTGTAAAGTTATTGTAAAATAAATTAATGTAAATATCATTCCACTTATGTAATAAGTATGTAATATATTGAACATTGTAGACATTTTGTGTAGTCTAATTAGGCATGCATTACGTTTGTATGATTTTGCTCGCTGTTTTATTTGGTTTTGTTATATTTTCTTGTTTGTTTGTAAATGTGTCTGATTTGTTTTTGTGTTACTATATGCATGGTTGGTATTATTTTAGATGCAAAGAAATTTCATGTTAAAATTTTTTTTTTTTGTTTAATACACAATTTAAGTTTTGAAGTTATACTTCTTTTAGCGCGAATTTTTACGATGCCAGAAGTTGGTTGCGTAGGGACACCAACAAATAACAAATAACAGCTTTTTTACATTTTGATGTGAGTAAATCAAAGCTATCTAATTTAACCGTATCAGTTTCATCTGGTCGTTTCATGGGCGGCGGTATTCACTTAACATCAGGTGAACCGTCTGCTCGCTTGGCAACACTACTTACTGAAAAAAATGTTAGACTGCCAAACGGGATAAAATTTTTAATTAATTTTCTTTGGTTAGGCTAAAGAAGTATAACTTCTTCCGTGCGTACCTACATAAGTATACACAAGCGTTTTTTTGCGTTCATTCAATGATAGAATTGTTGTCTATTTGCATTTAATCTGTGACTTGTGTCAAACAGGCGCCAACCCCACCGCCACGGCCGCCCGTCACCTCGTCCGATGCGCACGCGCACAATTTACACGAGGACATACCAGTGGCGTATAACGACAAGGTAATTGATGACTTTTTTATATGTGAAACGTTGCCAAACGAGCAGACGGTTCACCTGATGTTATGTGAATTTGAGATTAATGAGGGTTACAGATGTTTTGACAACCTTTTGAAAATTGGGCAACGGCTACCTCACTCCCCAGACGAAACGCAAAAGAGAGAGAACTACTTTCTTCAATCTGTATAGTACAGACTTATGACGTTTTTCGCAACTGTACCAACGTGAAGTGGGAGCAAGACGGACTTCGCTTTGGCGTGCGGTGTGGACGAGACAGTAGTACTCTCTTCAATATGTGCACTACAGACTCTGTGTGACGTTGTTCGCGACTGTACCAGCGTGAAGTAGGAGCGAGACGGACTTCGACTTGGCGTGCGGCGTGAACGAGACAGTAGTATTTTCTTGAATCTGTGCACTACAGACTCTGTGTGACGTTGTTCGCAACTGTACCTGTGACCTACCTGTAACTTAACTGTGGAAGGGCCACGCAACCGTTGTCACTGTTGTACGACGCATGGGCAGATCCGTCCGGGTATGTACCACGACCCCACAGAAGACGGCGTAAAGTAGAAGTGTTACACTTCTGCGTTTCGTCTGGTGAGTTAGGTAGCCGGAGCACACTTTATTTAAAGGTGGCAACGCATTTGCAACCCTGCGTTTATCACTTAACATAAGGTGAACCGCCAGCTCGTTTGCCACTTTATCACATACAAAAAAAACAACGTGAACTGGGAGCGAGACGGGCTGCGATTTGGCGTGCGGCGTGACCGAGACGGTAGTACTCTCTCCGGTCCGCACGCTAAGGACTAGGGATGAGGCGTATATCCAGTATATACGGCATGCATAATAATAAACAGCAAACATAAACACAGGCATAAATACCCAGTATGAACATACCGGTACGCACACCGGGTATGTATGTACGGCAGAGGCCCGTTCCATACCCGATAGGTATGGCTGGGTATGGCCGCCTCGTCCGACGGTGGCGGTATATAACGCTCGCGCGGCCGAATAGGTACGAAGTTCCCCGAACGCTTACGGCGGCTCTTCCCGATCATGCCCGAATTGAAAAGTATGATTTAGGCATTTTATACCAAATAATTCCTTGGGATAAATTTATTCTTTATTTCTATGACTATTAGGTAGATGAATAATTGCGTAATAAGGTTAAACAGTAATATTTATTTTGAATTACTTTTTTTGATAATAGGGTTCTTTACGTTAGTAAAGATGGAGCTTATTTTAGACTGATTAAATCTCAATTTAAAAAAAACTGATTGCTAAAAAAAAATCTAAATTTTCCAATTCCAACCAAAGGTTCAATTCGTTTGATTCGACCGAGTCTCCAAAAGGAGGCCTGAATATAACTAATACCTATAGGTATTTTGATACTGGGTTTTAGCACCGGGTATACGGCGATACCCGTACCTTTGAGACCGGGTATAGAATGTTGCAGGTATATCTCATGCCTACTAAGGACTCCGTTGCGCAGGTGGTGGCGTTCCTGAGGCAGCCGAACATCATGTCGATACTGCGCGAGCGGTGCGGCGGCTGCGGCGGCTGCGGCGGCGCCCTCCGCGACAAGATCAACGCGGTGCGCGTCGAGGGCGCGCCCGCCCTCGCCCGCCACCAGAACGACGTGCAGCTGACGTGCTTGCTCAGGTGGGTACAGCCCTATCGCGGGTTTTTTATTTGGTGTGTGAAAAGTTGCCAAGCGAGCGGGTGGTTCACCTGATGTTAAGTGAACACCGCCGCCCATGCATATCTGCTACACCCCCGTGTTTGCAGATGCGTTGACAACCTTTTGAAAATTGGGCTCCGGCTACCTCGCTCACCGGACGAAACGTGGAAGTATTATAATAAGTATTATTATTCGAGCAACAGCCGAGGCTGCTGCGTGGCCCTACCACCGTGCGTATCATGCGCAAGCCCATGGACTTGTCTTTGCAATTATAATCGAATGCTCGTTCGTCTTCACGTTTGGGCCGTTGTTGCTCGGCGCTCGCTTTCGATCAGTATACCCGAGCAACGTAAGTCAAATACCGGTTCGGGGACGAACTAAATTATGTATAAACTAAAAAAATCTGTATTTCTCCCGCTGCTGTGTAAAAGAGGGTATTAGGACATAGTACACGCGAGCCCACAGTGTACTGCCATATCCATCTTCAAAAAATTTTTTTTAACTATTATTATTTAAAGAAAGCATGTTTATTTACAAATCACTATGTTTTTGTTCACCGATGAGCACGTGATAAGTTAGCAATTAAAATTGCTCCAGTTGACGTCCGATAGATGGCGATATAATAAAACCGCACAGTAACGTCAAAATCTGAAAGCCGTACTGCTGCTTTCCTAATAATTATGTCAAAATAAAAAAAAAAAGAAATAATCAAATCAGGCTGCCTTTAGCTTTTTCCTGGGAACTGATTATTTAAGAAGTTTAATTAATATTATGTTAAAAATGTACGAAAAAAAAAACAAAAATACATTTATTGCCATTGCAAAATTATTACTTTAATTGTAAAAATACGTAATCAGTAAACAACTTCGATTATTTTTAGGTTACGCAAATGTAACGGATTTTTTTTTCGACACCCGTTATTGCCTATGGGTCTATACTAGAAAGATTTATTTAAACATAGTAAGGAGTTGAACTTTGCCAAAACGATATGTTATGTGGACTTTATCTCAATCAGTATAAGTCGAAAATGGCACCGACAGAGAAACCGACAATCATATTATATAAATATGCACTTAAATACTCACAGGAACGATTATTTAATGCCAACATAATGTCGTAATCATCGTGGAGTTGCCGCCCCGCATATGATGTCCACTTATCTGGCCCTGGATCTCCTATCTTTGCATTCTAACGCTGCAAGTTGGTGTCGAGAAACAGTTATAAAATACGGCCGCTACTAAATATTGTTTATTTGCTTCACATGTGTTGCACTGTTAAGTTTGTCTGAATTAGAAAGCTGGTTGGATGGCCACGTGTTTGTTGAGAACACTGTACTGAAGCATAAGTTTTTATTTATAGTCTTTAATTAGGGCAGTACATAATTATATCTGCAGGAGAAGACTTTTTAGAAACGTGAAAAAATATACGTATAAGTTATTCGGTGGTAACTTCCATTGCTTACAATTATAGTTTCAATTATGTGCGCTTCTTTTAGCGCGTGAGTAGAAAATTATGAGAGTAATTTTTACAATGCACAAAGCGACACGAAATATCCTTGAAGTAAGACGATAAATCTCCCTGTAATAATATGTAAAAACCTCAATATAAACAATATGACTTCATGTTGCCATTTCAGTTATTTTTATTTTGTTACTCCAGAGGTATAATTTCTTACGTGGACCGTCATAAGAACACACATAAGTTTTTTATTGAAAACAAAACTGTATAAAGCATAGAAAAACTTTTTTATTGTACTCTTTTCGTGTTATTAAAAAAATTGTATTTGTAGGTATGCTGTTTTTATGCGTTCCTAAATCATTAATTTAACTGTATTGAAATTTTGGTGTTTTATTCTGCATACGCCCAAAAACATATTTATAAACACTTTTTCTTTGTGTGGCATTGCGGTTTAGTGATATTCTTATAAATAAAAATATATGTCTGTATATTGATCCTCTATTACTTCCTAATTCAGCCATCAGAAACTTTGGTTAGCTGTTCTGTGTTATCTCGGGACGGTTCCTGTCGCAAAATAATCAGAAAGATATCAATTCAAACATTGTTTGTTTATCCCGTTAAGAGTGGTAACTCTATTGATAAGCGGTTTAGTAATTATGCGTTTGGCGAAAAGTTTTAGTGCTCGTCAATAGATTGTTGTATTGAGACGGTAAGGCAGGAATTTCTTAAGGTTTCTATAACGTTTAAAAAAATTTAAAATAATCTTTGAAAAAACAAGAGGTCACAGGTACGTACCAGATTCAGACTTAGAATTAATTCTGCATATGCTCTGTTAATATGTTCTTCGTCTATAAAATCACCCTGTTTAGATGTGGTGTCTTAAAATTAAAGAGAACAACGTGGCGTTGTCACCGACTTCGTAAACCTAAACAACACGGAATAAACCAGTTGGCATTCATATTTAAGATTAAACATGACATAACATGTAATGCAGTGCATGCAATAAAGCATGAAATAAATGTGATGCATTGAGAAAGGGAGGTAAGTTAGCGTGTCCATTATTCAGGCGTCGTTCATCTGATGATAACGCCTTGTGCATGAGATGAGGCAGAAATTTATTTATCAGGAACGATCTCGCCAATATGGTATATGCGAAAGTGTATTTGTTTCCAGTACAGTTAAACGGATTTAAATACAAATTGAAATCTAGTTACACTATGAAAAACGAATGGTGAACGATGAAATAAATTGTATAAGACTTATTTGAAAAGGACGTGCGAGAAAGTTTGTGAAAAACACATAGTGTGGACAATTCACACAATATCTTTAAAAATTAAAGCCTATGTGTTATTCTGATGTATAAGCTATATTATTGTTGTTTCATTAAAATCTATACAGTAGTTTTGGCGTGAAAGAGCTAACATCCATCCATACATACAAACTTTCGCGTTCATAATATTAGTAAGGATGCATGCAACTCCCTTCGCATTTGTGTCTTAGTAACGAAGATGATATTACTCTGTTGATAGGTACAAACGAAGATCAGGATAACGATGTGACTCAATCTGCAGTAATTTATGCAACGATTTACGCCGTGCTAAGAATAATTAATGGTTTTACACTAGATATGGCTACATTGTGGTTGGCAAAGTACGCAATATCTGCAGACGGCTCATTTTAAAAACTTAGTTAAACATGATTTAACATATTTTTCTGTAAGTCCAGATTCAAACCGCTACAATTTAAAACCTTTTTCTTATCGATTAAGTTTAGTTTTAATTGATGTATTGTAAATTGTAAATGTAAAAAAAAATTGTAAATGATAAAAAAAAATATAATTATAAAAAAAAAATATAATTCCCTATATCTTCTTTCGTATTATTCCTATTAATGTTTGATATCGAGGAGCTCCTTGTTAAATGAATTGCTACTTATCACGTGATTTAATTTAATTGGCTCGATAAAACGTGAAAGCGCTCGCTGTCTCTCTACACCGTAGCCGTTAAGAAATTTGAGAGCCACTTGATAAAAATCGTCCATAGTCCATGCACCGTCACATAGTAAAATGCTGCTACAAGTGACGTGGGATACTGCAACTCCTTTAAATAACAAGTACTCATAGCGAAGACAGCCGATGCTTAAGCACGTCGTGTGCATTTGTAAAATTTTCGCACGTTTCTTAAAACAATAAACACACACTCTCGCACAAATACGAGCTTTCTTTTGTGTTTCAACCCTAACAGGGAATTCTTATATTAATACATTTATCTAAATATACCAACGTATTGACGCCCCAAGCACGACTGACGCCGAGCATCTTTAGGAGATACTCGATTAGTGCACTGTATAGAGAATCGAACCCGCGACGTTCCGTGGCAAAAGATAACCACCACCTTTTAAACATTGTTTTCATATTTAATTAATCGTAGTGGATAACGATGACTCCGTGGTGCAGTGGCCAAGCTATTGGCTTCGGCGTCGGGGGTCGTGGGTTCGATTCCCACACGGGACAACTATTTGTGTGACCCCCAGATAGTTGTCTCGCATCTGGGTGTTTGTCCACGTGAAATTTATGTTTGTAACACAGGATAAAGTTAAAAGATAAAAGATAAAAGTAGTTATTTTGTTGTTCTCGGCGTATGGGGAAATGTTAAATTTTACTTTTGCACAAATTTAAAAAAATAGTTTACGTTTACATTTCGATTGTTGTACCTACATCACTTTTTTAATATTGTTGGGCTAGGCCCTAGGCATAATGATGTTTTATGTGTGTCAGACAATAAAAGCCTCTGGGTCTGTAAGTGTGTTAGACGATAACGGATAGCTTAAGGTAGGACCGGGTTCAATGTCTTGACTTGTCTTTCGCTCACAAAACATTATGTCAATACAGTAATGATAAAAGATATTCTTTTATCGCCGATATGCTGTTATCGTGTTTGCCCTGACTCAAGTCCGCGTCGCTTGTGACTATTGTTTTAGTGTCATTAATATTTCTAAGGATGTTATCTCTATGCGTGTGCAAGCGCTCTTCGACGATAGTCAACTATTAAGGCGCTCGTTAACCGATTTTAATGATGCTAATTACCATGCTAACTACACAATGTCATTTCTGTGAACACACACGTAGAGTGTTGATTTTTTGACCGCTATGTAAACCTGTGTTGAAACTTTGTCTCCTATAGTAAAGGTGTACGTTCTTTTCGTATCTTTCTATTTACAGTATTTCTTAATCATCAGTGTAGGATTAGCCTTAACCGTCATTATTTCTTATTCGACAATATTTGGTGATGTGCAAACCGTGTCGCCGTCATCGGCGCGTGTTGATTTCATAGCCGGCACAAGTATTTGTTCCACCCAATAATCTTTCAAGATCTGAAGGTCATCATATATAGTTTTGACAAAAACTGCAATGGTGAAAAATGGTTATTAAAAGGTTACGCATAAAGTGTGACTCACTAAGTTTACGTAGAGGCAAAATGTCTGGGTGACAGCGTTTTCAATTTCCATAACGGAGCATGGTTTTATTAAAAAGAAACAAACAATATGATAACAAACTAATAAATTATTATATTCATATGTAATATACACAATACTCTCAATATATTCTAATGATCAACAAACCTCAACATTCCAAACAATAATTATTGTAAATAACGATGTATTTTGCTCCACTAACAAGATACGATGTAGAGAGTCCGTTAGCTTATCGCCAAACGCTGATGTACCACCAATTGCTATGTTGAATTGACAAAGACAAAGTATTTCCAACGATAAGATTTACTGCACTTGACACACCTTCCTCTACTTAGTTACTGCTAATGATCACTACAGTTGGAATAATGTGGAACTAACCTATCTTAAACTCTAAAGGAATTCTCATTTGATCCAAAGTGGGGACGTTCCTCAATTATGAATCTGTTAGTTTTTTTTTTCTGGAGGTTTTTTTGGACTTGAAGCCAAATGATAGAGCCAACTTTTAATATTTCTATTAACTAGTATATAAGAATAATGCAGATGCCAGAAATGCCGCAGATTAAAGTCTATACGTTAATTTGAAGTCATTAATAGAACGGATGACGAAAGAAAATGAAATACTGCTAAATGTTTGCATATATTTCGAAACTGTAAACGTTATAAGTT